TGCATTCCGCTAAGATCTGTAAATACAAAAGAACAGTTTTATCAAATCGTTTTTGTTGATTGTACACGGGAATTGTCATATTCCAGCAATACGTTCGCAGCTCATTTGAATTTCAAAGGTGTCAGTTTTTTTTGACTCACCCTTTATAAATAAAAGTCTGTCTTTTAATATATATGGCCCTGACGTACGTCTCTGCAAAGGTCTTTGTCTAGGTCTTAATGGGGTCATTGTTCATGGCAAGATGTTTACATTAGATATTCACATTAGATGTGATAACCAGGGTTGGTAGATAGCTGCATATTTGAGGCCAAACAAGATCACACTAGTTCTTTGTTTCCTTTGTCTTTGCCTTTTGTTTTCTTTGTTTTCTTGATAGCACTAATGACAATTTGGCCTCAAATATTTGCATGTCTACCAACTCTGGTGATAGCACTCGTTAGTCGTTCAAGGCCAAATCGACAAATTCATTAATTTTAGTTTGACAACCGCATGGGCTTTTAGCAGCTCCAATGTTATAATGCGACGTTTATTTGAGCCTCAATATAGAGAGAGAATTTGATCGCACTTGTTCTACATCCTGAACACTTGGGTGTTCGAGTTCAATAGTGGTAAGACCCAGTGACTTTGAGTACTAAATTATACGTCTGAATATTATAGCTTATGTATTTGGTTGAGATTTGTTTACTGCCATTGTTGTGCTGCGAGATATATTTCAAAATGACGGGCTTATTTATGCGAGGAGTGACAAGATATCGATCGATAGTTTAATACTGGCACTCCCAGCTTATGGACAAGTAACAAGTTCAACGGTTCGGTAATATTCCTACAGAAATTGGATGAAATTTCTGTTTATTTGAAGCTTAGCCAATACAAAAGTATACAGTTCACAATGATTCACTCATCCACGCTCTGCTCAGGGGCATCGTTAAATAGGTCATCCACTGTGTCGATGTACAGTTAAGACTTTAGTTTAGAGTTTTTCTACAAACTATAGTTTAATTTATGAATTCGGCTTTTGTCATTTCGAATTCCGAGATATACTTCCCATCATTTCAGCTGGGTAATCGAAATCTTATAACGATTCACTACATTTGCATCCTTTACGGACAAATAAAGCTGGGAGATTCCTTTCCGGAAACGAATAAATATATTGTACTTGAAACCAAGTGTAATTTGATGTTTACCACGTCACCTTGCCTGAGACAGGAACTTCTACATCGCAAACAGTGAAATGTTAAAATGACCTTTCGTGATGAATTATAAAATATTTCGGACCTACTTTCTTTGACATAAACTCCTTAAGACATTTTCGTCTTTCTAGACCAATTTCTTTTGTGTTTCTTTGGCCCTTAAAAGTGCAGTATACTGTGGATAAACAAAAGAATATACACTGGCGGTGAAAAAGAACTGCTCAAATGTTAATATTGTCGCCACAATCAATCTTTTATTGTACACTAGTGGTCAAAAAGAGCTGTTTAGATACAAATTCATAAAGAAGAAGCGAATATAGGAGAGAGCTTCATAGGTATCTTGGATAATTCTCTTATTCCAAGCAATATTTCTGTAATGTAATGCAACCTGCCACACTTCTAAGATAGTCAAATAATGGTTCCAGGAAGGGGGAGTGACAGAAATGGATTGGCCTGCACAGTCAAAATACCTTAACCCTATTGAAAAGCTGTGGGACAATGTCAAGGGGATAGTGCAAGAAAGAAAGAAATTCATAAAGCCTCCATGATTTATGGGTTCCTGTAAAGACTGCCCATAGGATGAATTTCTTTTGACCGCTAAGATTACCACCTTAACAAAAAGTATGCCACGCCGGTGTAAGGCCGTCATCAATTATAAGGCCAAAGGAGGGCAACAAAAAATTCATATTTCATATAGCTTAGCATGTAATCTACTCTATATTTACTCGTACATATTGTTAGAGGGACAGTTACCTTCATTTGAGAGTATTTTAACTTGTTTTGAGCAGTTCTTTTTGACCGCCAGGGTATATATATACATATATAAAACGTAAATTTGAGCGGTTCCTAGATTCACATAAGGAAACTCGACGAATTCGTCTGACATAATTATTCCTCTACGTACGACGTTCGTCTAGATGGCTTGTCTAGTTTTTATATATATACTCAGACAAATGATCTGTCCGACGACCATTCTTCTTGATAGATAATCCGTCTCTGTTATAAATTGGGCCAATTTATGAGCATATATATATATATATATATATATATATATATATATATAAATATATATATATATATATATATATATATATAACTTTTGCAGCGTAAGCGTTAAGATGACGCAGGTTTACGCCTACAATCGGCCCACCAGTCGTGTAACGATTGAAATTCGATTTAAATGATATTCATTGTTAATGCCCTTTTTTTAATATTGGACACCTTTTAACTCCAATCTTATTTGCCAGTGGATCATTACGACAGAGTCGAGAAGCGAACCTAATATATGCTTTGCTATGAACGTGATGTAAAGCAATGACTGACGCCATTATTATTATTATGAAGCCATGACTGACGTGATTATTATTATCACGAGATAGTCAACAGTTTCCGCCCAGTTGCGGTTCAGGGCTACGCAGTGTAGTAGAACTCCTCAGAATCGCCCAATCGCATTGGGGGATTTTTATTTAAAATTACACTTGACTAATAGCGTTGGTATTAAGGTGTTTTGAATTTACAATTAAGCCTTTTCTTATTCCCCTATCCCTAGATCTGCCACTGTTTCCATTTCAATTTTTTCATATCAATTTTCTATATAAATCGAAAAGTCAAAACAAATCGACAAACTTTCCTTGAAAGACTCAGTGCTTTAAACTCGTACAAAAAGCCTCCAAAACTCGTACAATGCATGGTTATGATAACTCGTTCTAAACTGATTTTTGTGTTAATGTCATGTGTATCTCGAAACAATGCTTCCTATGGTAACCCATGGTAACGACTGAAATTCGATTTAAATGATATTCATTGTTAATGCCCTTTTTTAATATTGGACACCTTTTAACTCCAATCTTACTTGCCAGTGGATCATTACGACAGAGTCGAGAAGCGAACCTAATATATGCTTTGCTATGAACGTGATGTAAAGCAATGACTGACGTCATTATTATTATTATGAAGCCATGACTGACGTGATTATTATTATCACGAGATAGTCAACAGTTTCCGCCCAGTGGCGGTTCAGGGCTACGCAGTGTAGTAAAACTCCTCAGAATCGCCCAATCGCATTGGGGGATTTTTATTTAAAATTACACTTGACTAATAGCGTTGGTATTAAGGTGTTTTGAATTTACAATTAAGCCTTTTCTTATTCCCCCTATCCCTAGATCCGCCACTGTTTCCGTTTCTATTTTTTCATATCATTTTCTATATAAATCGAAAAGTCAAAACAAATCGACAAACATTCTTTGAAAGACTCAGTGTTTACAATCACTTAAACTCGTACAAAAAGCCTCCAAAACTCGTACAATGGTTATGATAACTCGTTCTATACTGATTTTTGTTTTCATGTCGTGTGTATCTCAAAACAATGCTTCCCATGGTAAGTTCTGAGTTAACCAATTGTCACTTTTTGACTAAGATATGAAATTCATAAACATAGGCCGGCGATTCGTTACGTATCGATTTTAAGCTAGGTCGTCGTGTTGATATCAAGGTAATGACTAGCTAACGTAAAACATGTTCCTGACGTTCTTCGCGTAAAGATTATAGGACATAAGAAACAAACTAAATTTTATTTGTATTTTATGTATTTTTTAAATTATTTCATAGGATGTCCAAATAACTGGGAAAATTTTGGTAACTCTTGTTACACCTTTGTTCATATTGACAAAAGCTGGCAGAAATCAAACAGTGATTGCGAGAATAAAGGAGGTCAGCTTGCTAGAGTTTCAGGAGAGAAACTCAACCGTTTTCTCCATGAAATGTATAGAATCGCCAAGAGTGGAATCAACTTATGGATTGGTCTTAAGAGATGTTCGTCCAATAGTGCACAATGGTGCTATCCAAATGGAAAATTAGCCAACTACACAAACTGGGCACCCGATATCCCTGACGAAAACGGCGACTGCGTTGAAATGCTTGACATTGGCGTCTTGGGTAATCGTCCCTGCAGTGATAAAAGGCCTTACGTTTGTGAAATGGGTATGTCATTTCTTAGGACATATATTTATTATAACCAATAATAAATATATTTTTTATATTCAATTTTGACGACCAACATTTTCATGACATATATCATGTTATACGAAAGTGTCACCTCTTATATATACGACATGTGAATATACGTTCACGATTTTGCTTTATTGCATCATTTTATGTTTCCCCTTTTGATGTTGGACTAGGATGTGTTTACAAACGTACTGAGTATGGGAAGAAAAAGAACTCTTTAATAGTGAAAAACAGTTACAAATCTTTTATATCTTGTTATAAGTTGTATGAAAGTATGACTGGTGATTCATCTTTGAAAATGAATTTAAGGCACATGATGGCTTTAAGGCACACATAATCAACGAAATTCAAAACATAAATCACCAGGAGCCGGTTGTATCAAGCGGTGGATAAGTCAAAATTAAATAAAACTCTTAAATCTCTCTTAAATGAGTCAACTTGAATATTATCCACTAAATATGTAGTTGTAAAGAGTATCTTTGTATTAGCTAAGGTAAAAAACATTTTGTTCGCCTGTTGAATGAAACGATAGACTTGCTTTCTACTTTGAACTTAACCACGGGCTTGATACAAAGCCGGATAGCGCTATCTGGGTTTTTAGAAAGAAATTGTCATCAGTTGTAAGGCACATACAAAATTACGATTGGGTCTCACACTGGAGCTGACAATAAAGGTTTTTCCCGAAATGGGACAATTTGCAAAAGTTACGTCAGCATATGTATTTGACTGTTTAGTATGTGGATGCTAAATAATTTGGAGTTTTGTTCAATTAGGTACAAAATATTCTTAAATTTTATTCAATAGATTTTGATGAGTGCATGCTGGAAACACACAGATGCCATTCTCGCGCAACGTGCAACAATACGATTGGATCATATACCTGTACATGTAATCAAGGATTTACTGGCAATGGGACCATTTGCGAAGGTATAGTGACGTCAGTATATGCTCATGACTATATTTGAATAGAGTACCAAATATTTTCAAATTTGAATAGACTTTGAAGAGTGCATACTTGACACGCACAGATGTCATTCTCATGCGAAATGCAAGAATACCATTGGGTCATATACCTGTACTTGTAACGAAGGATTTACGGGAAATGGATCCTTTTGCGAAGGTATAGTAACGTCAGTATACGCTCATGACTCCATCAAATTGGAGAACTAAATATTTTCAGATTTAAATTAATGACGTCGATGAGTGCATGCAGGAAACACACGGATGTCATTCTTAAGTCACGTGCGACAATACGATTGGATAATACACATGTGCTTGCAATGAACGATTTTCAGGAAATCTGGAAATTGGCCTTTTAGTCAGGTGTTATTGTAAGCATAAAAGTTAACACTCCTTAGCTTTATCTATTATTAAATTGTTCAGAATGGCTCTGTTGTGCAATGATTTAAACCTCGGGGCATTCTTTCAACACTAATACGTTATACTCTGTCGAAAATTTTCTAATTTGTTTCTGTCGATATAAAAAAGCGACAATCGAGGTTTAATTACTAACTGGTCCCCAGTCGCTTACCTAAGGCGCCATTAATGATAGGGCGCACTGAATGATTGGAAGACGAAGGGGTATTCTAAAATAGCCTAACAAATAGCCTCGGGGTATTCCCATGATCTTTTGCGTCATCAATTTTCATCGCTTTGTTAGGGACTGTGGAAAAGTCAGGTTTAATTATGCGTAAACAAAATGGCTATCTGAAGAAATCAATCGGGTATAGGACGTTTATGAATATAATTTTAGCCAACCGTCTATTATGGATTCTAGGGACGGCCCTGGCAGAATTCACGAACAAAAAATGTCATAAAACTACGTCGATTGTACAACGAGAAAATTAATATCAGATTTCAAGAAAATAAATAAGATAAACATTAAAAATTACCCCTTTGAAGAAGAGAGGATGATGTATATAATAAGATACAGAAATCCGTATTAAAACATTATCATTTAATTGCATTAAATATCTTTCAAAATAAATGTTTTTTTAATTTCAAAACACGTAAAAAAGGAGAAGAAAGAGAAGGATGTAAATGTAGCATTTTATGCACCAATATTTTGCTTGCAAACTTGCTAAATAACACTCTTAAATCTCTCTTAAATGAGTCAACTTGAATATTATCCACTGAATATGTAGTTGTAAAGAGTATCTTTGTATTAGCTAAGGTAAAAAACATTTTGTTCGCTTGTTTAATAAAACGATAGATTTGCTTTCTATTTTGAACTTAACCACTGGCTTGATACAAAGCTGGATAGCGCTATCTGGGTTTTTAGAAAGAAATTGTCATCAGTTGTAAGACACATGCAAAATTACCATTGGGTCTCACACCGGAGCTGACAATAAAGGTTTTTCCCGAAATGGGACAATTTGCAAAAGTTACGTCAGCATATGTATTTGACTGTTTAGTATGTGGATGCTAAATAATTTGGAGTTTTGTTCAATTAGGTACAAAATATTCTTAAATTTTATGCAATAGATTTTGATGAGTGCATGCTGGAAAAACACAGATGCCATTCTCGCGCAACGTGCAACAATACGATTGGATCATATACCTGTACATGTAATCAAGGATTTACTGGCAATGGGACCATTTGCGAAGGTATAGTGACGTCAGTATATGCTCATGACTATATTTAAATAGAGTACCAAATATTTTCAAATTTGAATAGACTTTGAAGAGTGCATACTTGACACGCACAGATGTCATTCTCATGCGAAATGCAAGAATACCATTGGGTCATATGTGTGTAATTGTAACGAAGGATTCACGGGAAATGGATCTTTTTGCGAAGGTATAGTAACGTCAGTATACGCTCATGACTCCATCAAATTGGAGAACTAAATATTTTCACATTTAAATCAATGACGTCGATGAGTGCATGCAGGAAACACACGCATGTCATTCTTAAGCCACGTGCGACAATACGATTGGGTAATACCCATGTGCTTGCAATGAACAATTTTCAGGAAATCTGGAAATAGGCCATTTAGTCAGGTGTTATTGTAAGCATAAAAGTTAACACTCCTTAGCTTTATCTATTATTTCATTGTTCAGAATAACCCTGTTGTGCAATGATTTAAACCTCGGGGCATTCTTTCAACACTAATACGTTATGCTCTGTCGAAAATTTTCTAATTTGTTTCTATCGATAGGAAAGCGACAATCGAGGTTTAATTAATAACTGGTCCCCAGTCGCTTACCTAAGGCGCCATTAATGATGGGGCGCGCTGAATGATGGGAAGACGAAGGGGTATTCCAAAATAGCCTAGCAAATAGCCTCTGAGTATTCCCATGATCCTTTGCGTCATCAATTTTATCGCTTTGTTAGGGACTGTGGAAGAGTCAGGTTTAATTATGCGTAAACAAAATGGCTACCTGAAGAAATCAAACGGGTATAGGACGGTTATGAATATAATTTTAGCCAACCGTCTATTATGGATTCTAGGGACGGCCCTGGCAGAATTCACGAACAAAAAATGTCATAAAACTACGTCGATTGTACAACGAGAAAATTAATATAAGATTTCAAGAAAATAGATAAGATAAACACTAAAAATTACCCCTGCGAAGAAAAGAGGATGATGAATATTATAAAATACAGAAGTGCGTATTAAAACATAATCATTTAATTGCATTAAATAGCTTTTAAATTAAATGTTTTTTTAATTTCAAAACACATAATTAAGAATAGGAATGAAAAGGATGTAAATATAGCATATAATGCACCAATATTTTGCTTGCTAACTTGCTAAATAACACTCTTAAATATCTCTTAAATGAGTCAACTTGAATATTATCCACTGAATATGTAGTTGTAAAGAGTATCTTTGTATTAGCTAAGGTAAAAACATTTAGTTTGCTTGTTGAATAAAACGATAGACTTGCTTTCTACTTTGAACTTAACCACTGGCTTGATACAAAGCCGGATAGCGCTATCTGGGTTTTTAGAAAGAAATTGTCATCAGTTGTAAGGCACATTCAAAATTACGATTGGGTCTAACACCTGAACTGGCAATAAAGGTTTTTCCGGAAATGGGACAATTTGCAAAAGTTACGTCAGCATATGTATTTGACTGTTTACTATGTGGATGCTAAATAATTTGGAGTTTTGTTCAATTAGGTACAAAATATTCTTAAATTTTATTCAATAGATTTTGATGAGTGCATGCTGGAAACACACAGATGCCATTCTCGCGCAACGTGCAACAATACGATTGGATCATATACCTGTACATGTAATCAAGGATTTACTGGCAATGGGACCATTTGCGAAGGTATAGTGACGTCAGTATATGCTCATGACTATATTTGAATAGAGTACCAAATATTTTCAAATTTGAATAGACTTTGAAGAGTGCATACTTGACACGCACAGATGTCATTCTCATGCGAAATGCAAGAATACCATTGGGTCATATACCTGTACTTGTAACGAAGGATTTACGGGAAATGGATCCTTTTGCGAAGGTATAGTAACGTCAGTATACGCTCATGACTCCATCAAATTGGAGAACTAAATATTTTCAGATTTAAATTAATGACGTCGATGAGTGCATGCAGGAAACACACGGATGTCATTCATAAGCCACGTGCGACAGTACGATTGGTTAATACACATGTGCTTGCAATGAATGATTTTCAGGAAATCTGGAAATAGGACCATTTAGTCAGGTGTTATTGTAAGCATAAAACTTAGCACTCCTTAGCTTTATCTATTATTTCATTGTTCAGAATGGCCCTGTTGTGCAATGAGTTAAACCTCGGGGCATTCTTTCAACACTAATACGTTATGCTCTGTCGAAAATTTTCTAATTTGTTCTGTCGATAGGAAAGCGACAATTGAGCTTTAATTATTTACTGGTCCCCAGTCGCTTACCTAAGGTACCATTAATGATGGGGCGCGCTGAATGATGGGAAGACGAAGGGGTATTCCAAAATAGCCTAACAAATAGACTCGGGGTATTCCCATGATCCTTTGCCTCATCAATTTTCATCGCATTGTTAGGGACTGTGGAAGAGTCAGGTTTTTATTTGGGTAAACAAAATTGCTATCTGAAGAAATCAATCGGGTATAGGGCGTTTATGAATATGATTCTAGCCAACCGTCTATTATGGATTCTAGCGACGGCGTTGGCAGAATTCACGAACAAAAAATGTCAAAAACCTACGTCGATTGTACGACGAGAAAATTAATATAAGATTTCAAGAAAATAAATAAGATAAACACTAAAAATTACCCCTGCGAAGAAGAGAGGATGATGTATATTATAAGATACAGAAATCCGTATTAAAACATAATCATTTATTTGCATTAAATAGCTTTTAATATAAATGTGTTTTTTTTAATTTCAAAACACTTAAAAAAGAATAACAAAAAGAAGGATGTAAATATAGCATATAATACACCAATATTTTGCTTGCTAACTTGCTAAATAACACTCTTAAATCTCTCTTAAATGAGTCAACTTGAATATTATCCACTGAATATGTAGTTGTAAAGAGTATCTTTGTATTAGCTAAGGTAAAAAACATTTTGTTCGCTTGTTGAATAAAACGATAGACTTACTTTCTATTTTGAACTTAACCACGGGCTTGATACAAAGCCGGATAGTGCCATCTGGGTTTTTATAAAGAAATTGTCATCAGTTGTAAGACACATGCAAAATTACGATTGGGTCTAACACCGGAGCTGGCAATAAAGGTTTTTCCGGAAAAGGAACAATTTGCAAAAGTTACGTCAGCATATGTATTTGACTGTTTACTATGTGGACGCTAAATAATTTGGAGTTGTATTCAATTAGGTACAAAATATTCTTAAATTTTATTCAATAGATTTTGATGAGTGCATGCTGGAAACACACAGATGCCATTCTCGCGCAACGTGCAACAATACGATTGGATCATATACCTGTACATGTAATCAAGGATTTACTGGCAATGGGACCATTTGCGAAGGTATAGTGACGTCAGTATATGCTCATGACTATATTTGAATAGAGTACCAAATATTTTCAAATTTGAATAGACTTTGAAGAGTGCATACTTGACACGCACAGATGTCATTCTCATGCGAAATGCAAGAATACCATTGGGTCATATACCTGTACTTGTAACGAAGGATTTACGGGAAATGGATCCTTTTGCGAAGGTATAGTAACGTCAGTATACGCTCATGACTGCATCAAATTGGAGAACTAAATATTTTCACATTTAAATCAATGACGTCGATGAGTGCATGCAGGAAACACACGGGTGTCATTCTAAAGCCACGTGCGACAGTACGATTGGATAGTACACATGTGCTTGCAATGAACGATTTTCAGGAAATCTGGAAATGAGACCATTCAGTCAGGTGTTATCGTAAGCACAAAAGTTTTAACACGCCTTAGCTTTATCTAATATTTCATTGTTTAGAATGGCCCTGTTGTGCAATGAGGAAAAACGCGGTCTTAAACCTCGGAGCATTCTTTCAACACTAATACGTTTTGCTCTGTCTAAAATTTTCTAATTTGTTTCTGTCGATAGGAAAGCGACAATCGAGGTTTAATTACTAACTGGTCCCCAGTCGCTTACCAAATGTTTCTTTAATTTCAAAACACGTAAAAAAGAATAAGAAAGAGAAGGATGTAAATATAGTATATAATGCATCAATCTTTTGCTTGCTAACGATAGCCTACTTTCCTTTTATCTTGTTTAGGCTTTCGTCTATCTTTCTTTCTTTCTCGTCTCGTTCGTATTGTACCAAAGGTTAACAATACGAACAAGGAAGACAGACTTAGCAAACTTAATGAACAGGCAAGTTATTCTATTCGTTCGTTCGTTTAAAGTTTGACTATGGTAATTCGAATCTTTCTGCATGATTTTATTTACCTGCATGCTTGTGCATTTAAAAAAAGGTTTAAGAACGCAATATGACGGTAACGCTGTCGATGCATCTTTTAAAATAAATAATAGACATTTTATGGTAAACGACATTGGCAATTAATTTTTTCCTCACATAAGAAAACGCTTTAAATTTTTAATAAAATCTTGTGATAAAATTTCCATATTTCACTCGATTCTTGCAATATTTCTACAACAAGCCACGATTTTCTGTGAATTGTTGGCGATCTTGGGTCAATCGCTAACTCATTGGAGAGTTAAAGCAGTGACTACGAGTACAAAATTTGCCATTTTCGCGCCAAACTCTGTGCTTTCGCCTACGCCGTTCGACGAAACTGGTAGTTCTTGGGCTTTTGTATACGAGAACAATCAACAGACTCTTCCATAGCGTAAACAACAGCGAGTATGACGATCTTGTACTGCATGGTAGTCACTTGCTAAAGCTCTCTATTAATTTTCATTGTGAAGACGTCAGGTGCAAGAAATCACCTGGAGAGAGCCTAGTAAAATTTGAAATTACAAGGTTCGGTTGCAAAATGTTGTAAAATAAAGGAAACATAATTATACACAGTTTCATCACCCATTTGCTCGATATTTTCAGGTGGATGAGCTCTATGGTATGAATATAACTGCAAGAAAAAAATCCGCCCAGATTATCATAAAGGAACTGTCCAATATAACAAATGTAAATAACGAAAACGGAGTGAAAGTGATAATGAACCCAAATTTTCTCAGCCGAACCGTCGCAATACTTCAGAAAGTTGTTGGACTGAATATTTCTGATGGCAGTGTTAACATATTGGGTCCTGCAAGTAATATTTTAGATGAAGTAAACAGGAAATATTGGAGAAACATGACGGTGAGTTGATTAGAATAAGTAAGTACATTAGCTTGTAAGTGCCATGCATGTACGTATTTAATACTGCATAAAAAAAAATAGTTTGATATAAATAGTTGATGAAAAAAGGTCTTCGAGTCTTTGAAGAGGCTTTCGGTACTAATATCTTATAGAAATTCCTTCTTTCCACCATTAGGATGAGAGACTAATTCGTGATCTGGTGATCACTTTGCAAAATTATGGATTTCAATTAGGAGAAGTATTGAAAAACGACAGGAGTTCTTCGCGTATATTTCAAAATCATTCAAACGTTCAGCTATATGTCACATACCAAAAGCGCTCAGAATTGTCACCTCAGAACAGTCTTTTCAATTTCCCAAATTCATCGTTTACACTTTCGCCTGATGCGCTTTCGAACGACTGTGGAGCGGTCATAGTTGTTGTCTGGTATAAAACACTAAACTTAGTTCTGCGAAAGAGTGGTTTTAATGGTGATTATCACGCAATAAAAAGCAGAATCATTATTGCGAGTGTTCAACCTGAACCAAGAATGCCATTTAAGGAACCTGTCCGTATAAGCTGGGATGCAACAGAAGCGGTAAGCATATATGAATGCCGCTTATTGTAGCTAATATATATATATTATATAATATATATATACATATATATATATATATATATATATATATATACACCCATTTGCAAAAACGTTGGCCGCAGATAGATAGATAGATAGATACTCGAAGTCTAATTAGAATTGCATATGATTACATTTGCATGGGACTTCTATAATATTACATAACATATGCAATTCTAATTAGATTTAGAGTATCTATCTATATATCTATCTGCGGCCAACGTTTTTGCAAATGGGTGTATATATATATATATATATATATATATATATATATATATATATATATATATATATATATATATACAGTATATATTAGCTATATATTTTTTTTCATCTTTAATTTTATGACCATGCAGGACGAAGCGATCACTTGTGGATATTGGAAACCAGAATTAGGTGTAAGTAAGTGGAAAACTGATGGCTGTAAAATAGGAAAGTCGAATAATAACCACTCGATATGTGAATGTTATCACCTCACTGCTTTTGCGACCATGGACATTGGAAAGAAAGATTTGGTAAGCTTTCAAGTGATGAAATTATGTACATTTAATACTGATATATAGCTATCTGTGACATTTACACAGAATAAAATATTATTATATTCCAAGTTAACCAAGGGTGAGCAAGAGGTTTTGGAAATAGTGTCTACTGTTGGCAGTTCTTTGTCGTTGGCTGGTGTGTTGTTGACGATATTAGCCTACGTATTGCAGTGGAAGAGACTTCATAAAGATGGCAAAAGCAAAATTTCTTCAAAAGTGCTCATGAATCTTTGTGTTGCAATTGGAATGGCGAATTTCCTTTCTATACTTTCCGGTCCGGCACGTAATCATGAGGTATTCCGATTACACTGTTGTTGATTTTTTGACTTTTTGCATTGGTATTTCATTATTACTTTTCTTTCTCTTCCAGCCATACTGTATAACAGTTTCCTTGCTTCTATATTTCTTCATTCTTGCTCTTTTTGGATGGATGTTATGCGAAGGAATTGTAATCTACTTAAAAATGGTCAATGTCTATGCGAGTTTAGCTTTGGGTGGAAAACATATGCAAGCATTCTATGTTGTTGGATGGGGTAAGTAAGGCTGAATTTCCACTTACAGAGAAATAATTTGTTGGCGAAATATTTGCATATTTTCTTTATAATTTTAACATAATTGTAAATAAATTAGTTCAATATGACTTTTTCACTTCAAAAGATAATATGCAAATATTTGTTAGCGAATTTTTTCTTTTTAAGTGAAAGGGATAGTGAGGATATAGTGGTTTATAAAATATTTTCGTTTTAGGTTTATGAAAAGCCCAATTTTTGTGGGAGCTTTTGAAGGAATTGAAAATACTCCAAATAACTTTTATAAGAGTTTTAAAAATATTACAGAAAGATTGCATTGCCATATTTATGAAGGGCCGTGCATGAAAAGAGAGAACAAAGTTGTTCGGAAACTGTGGCGTAGTTTTAGCCTGACGATTTTGTTCCTCTATAGAGATATGTAAACTTGGGGTTATTATAATTATTCATTTCTTTAGAAATGTATTGTTTTCACAGTCAATGAACACCAAAATATTAGCAAAGGACAAATCTTCAGTCTGGCTACACTAATGTTCGCAAATACCACTTTAATAATGTTTTTCGCAAAAATTGGAACACACATTTTTGTCAGTGAATGGTGCATTTACTTTGGAAAAATTATCTTCTCTAATGCAGTATGCTATTCGTAAAATAACTGTACTCCGACCAATCAGAATCCAGTAATTAGAACATGCTATGTAATAATTATTGTGATAATGATTTGAAGCATGAGAGTGATTAGTATTTTGGATGAATTTGAATGAATGAAATCGTTGTGTGTCAAATGAAATTATTAGTGATTTGAACTTGCGTTTGCCCTTTCTTTGGTATTCATGCAGGTTTTCCAGTTATCATTGTCTCGCTTCAAATCGCGGTGAATGGTTTAATTGATGTTACATCCGAGCATGCATGTTGGTGCCGTGCTGGTGGTGTGATGTTTTGGAGCTTTTTGGTTACTGTTGGATTAATATTGTTGGTAAGATAGCACCACACATATTTGACAATTTAGGCATGATAATGTCGTCATCTTCAGGGACAAGTCAGAACGTCAGACAATAATGGCTATAAGTATTTAAACTTAGGATTTGCCGCTTTAAACTGCCACTCAAACACAGAGAATTACGCTGTATAAACCGGGCCTGACTTAAACATTCAACACCCACAAAATTTACCATACTTGCGCGGGGTTGCCTTCCTTGGCAACCAGCATCAGGGTAAGCACTGGGAGTTGTATAAAAGACAATAGTTAACTTTTAACAGTAGACAAAGGCAGAATTGGCCAATCAGAGTCGTGAATTTCTGAGTTAACTAGGATTTAACTGTGCAAAATGTGGTTCTTATACAACCGGCCCCTGGACCCAGATCATTAAAACATTCGTAAGGTAAGCAAGCAGATTGGGAATTAAGTATCACGGTTTGTTTACGTTTTAAACATTAGCCTAGGAATGTATTATTTATTTATTTTATTTCTAAAGAAGCATATATATATATATATATATATATATATATATATATATATATATATATATATATATATATATATATATCAAATATGTATTTAGAATCATATATGAGTAGAGTGCTCGATATACCAAAGTATAGAGCTAGTATAAAGATAAAATAAAATAAACTTGGTTTACTTCATAAGATTTTATTCACTACAAACTTGTTTCGTATGACAAGCAACGCTTGCCACACTCATCAGGTGAATTTAAATGTCGCGCTATGTTATTGCAAAGGTTATATATACTATATACATGTTTGACGTAAACGGAAAGCTCTAGTGTTAAATTACATATAAATATATACAGATTATATCAAGTAATTATATTGCTTAAGAGAAATTTGTTTCTATGCCTGAACTTTGTTCTTTAAACTCAAGAAGTGAACTGTTATCGAAATGCAAGCATAGAAACAAATTTCATGTTTATACCGTCAACAACTCGTAAAATAGTTCACGCTTCGTACTTGAACGCAAATGGAAACATTATTTCTTTTTCTTTTAGATAAACAGCGTTATATTTATTCTGGCCTTTCGAAAAATTTTATACTCCACGAACATAAACAGAACTCGTACAACGGCTATAACGACGTCAAGAAAGGCAATAATTGGTCTCAAAGGTTCAGCTATCCTGCTTCCAATACTTGGATTAACGTGGGTGTTTGGTTTCCTGGTATTTAATCACGACACGGTCGTGTTTAAATATCTCTTCGCAATATTCAACTCCCTACAAGGACTGATGATATTTCTTTTTCATGTGCTTCTAAATAAAAACGTATGTCAATAAAGTCAATAAACAATTATTTAATTCATTATTCATATCTTTCGTATCAAATGTAGTAACAAAATTTTATACTAAAATATTGTAATATTGTAATAAAATTTGTCTAAAATAAGCAACGACATTTTTTTGACGTTTCGACGTAAATACCTTCGTCAGGAGAGTTATAGGGCATTTTTCATTGGCAAATTAAAGTTTGCGACAAACCAAATTGTTTTTTTCTGTTCATTTAATGTCGAAACTTTATCCCGCATTCCCCCGCAAACCGGGTAAAGTTTTCAGCTCTGACGTTACTATTCCGGGTTGGGCGAAGTTGGCGACAAATGCAGGGGCCAGTTGTATAAAAGAACAGTGAACTCTATATATATTGAAGGCTCGCTGTAGTATACATCGCGTAATGATCTAAAAGTGAAGCCAAACATGGCGGATCATGAAGGCTGCTTGGGTACCGAACCAGACCTCCACGCACGAGCAGTTGAATTCAATATGGCGGCAACGTGTAGGAGTGGAACTCGGTCAGTTTTGTAAACACAACACAAATATAGGCCATAAGTTACCTCTCTAGAAAGAATAACATTGCCAGGTAAGGTTGTGACAAATTGTATGTATTCATTATTAAAATCTTTGTATTTTAAAAACTTTGTAACGTCCGAAAAGCTACCTTTTTTATTTTTCGTCATAGTTTTATAATTCGTGTTTTTAATTTCCACGCGCGCTTCGCGCATTTTACGCTTCGTGGAGGACTGGTTCGGTACCCAAGCAGCCTTCATGATCCGCCATGTTTGGCTTCACACTTTGAACTGGAGCGAGCCTTCCATGTATATAGAGTTCACTGTAAAAGAGTAGTTAACTTTCAAAAAACTTTAGTTAAAGATAGAATTGGGCAATCGGAGAGTTTTGTATAACCGGCCCCAGACAGTCGCCCCGACAAACGGGAAAATTATGTTCATATATTATAAGGAAGATATAGATATTCTCCCGCTTACCGCGACCTCGCCTTCCAAGTTTTATCAAGAACATTTTGTGTCATAGGAACGCAATCTTAGTATGATTCTATATACTATGCTGACTTTATACTATGCTGACTTTACATGTTTACGTATACCTACGATATGCGCTTTACTGATTTATTAACTAGCCTGAACAGCCTTAATACAACGTTCCTTCGACAAGTCGTCTTTGCTACAGCAACCTACTAACCATGTTTTCAAAAACAAACTAAAAAAAAACGAACAAAAGGGGAAAAACATCTCCCCGAAGCATTTACTTTTTTATCCAATAGTTTCAGAGTTTTTTTTTGGAAAGTATATTATTCATTTGTTATGCCTACCGTTTTTTAGTAGAACAACTTTGGATTTAATTAGCTTTAGCCAAGGGGTAATTGGCATTTGCATCAAGTAGAGTCGGAGAGTGTCTGGAACTTCATTGACCGCAATTTTTTACCGAATAAATACATATTTCAAAGAAATAATAGCATTTTAAAGCAAAAATATTTCCAACTCGTTTGAAAAATAGCCGGAAATGTGGATAAAAGTTCATCAAGTGATGCAGACAAATAGTATTTCATATTTCTTCTATGAATATTTCTAAAATGAACAAAAATTATCGCCGGTTTGAGAATTAAACCCGCCAATAACAATATCTTTTGCCTAAAGGCAAAGCCATAATATTTTGATTTTGTCAGGACTGTCTGCTTCCCATATCGAGAAGAAATTGCCTCAAGGCAAAATTCATTTCGCACGAATATACTCGCTAATGGAAAACTATAGTTACTAGTTTTTTTTTATTATTATTCAAACATCTGTAAAACTGCCAGTAAACATTTTCAGAATACTATCGGAAGTTCAAATGATATTTAAAAGTATCGTGCAGCCAATTGGCACAGTTCACTGATGCTTGTGATTTCCACTTTTTCCCTGAACCCTCGTAAGTTGGATTGACTGAACAATTCTTTTACAACTGATTACTATAAGAGCATCTTCAACATACGAATTAAAAAGTAGAATTCGAATGAATATGACATCCAAAAAGCCGTCTTTATTTTATTTTTTTCATAAAAACCGACTTTTGTATAGTCGAAAAAACATAAATGCTTGTATAACAAACTCGCAGTGGAATGACCGTATTTACAAATATGAGCTGTTGGGCATAATTTAATAATTTTATACAAGTTGGTATCACGGAATGTTGGTATCATTCGAATGCGGTATTTTTTTATATGCTTACATATGCTTACAGTTAATGTGTCCCAAACTATGTTGCATCTTTTGCTTATATTTCCATGAGATTCACTTTCTTCCATTATTTAACTTTTCCCGCTTTCAATTGTAGTTCCGACAATGCGGCTCCCAACTGGCCATATCTCCCGATCATCATTAATCGTGTTGGAATGCTAGGGGTAGATATATCTTGCTGTTTTACCTTTTAGTGCTATATTCATAATGTTGACTGCCTAGTATCATGACATCTCACAGATGCCTAAATTGGCGCCGGGTAGGCACCTTACTGCTGCCCCTCCTAGGCGGCGAAGATTCAAAAGATGGTACTGCAGTTTGTTAATGTAGGAAGTTTATGAGCTTTGTGGAAAACGGCAAACAACAAGATCGAACATTCTCAGCAAAATTTCCGTTCAGCTACTTTCTTATCTTATGTCAAATTGTTGATAGTACCTAGAGTTTTAAAATATTGAGTCAATTTCCACTTGAATGCCTTTTACCTAGCTAATTGTTTTTTTTTCTTTGCTGTTTGTCGTTTGACGTGTAACGTAAAGCTTAACTCTTTGACATAAATGCTTGGAACGATGTGAGAAATGCATTTAACGGTCTTGAGGGATAGCACAATCAAGCTGCAGAAACATGAGAATACGCCTGTATTGAAAGAGCTCGCTCAAACTCATTGAATGATCAAAGAGAAAGTTATTTCTTAGTCAATAGAAAGGTCTCAGATGGAAAGGTCTCGTTACCGATGTGCCACCTGACACGTTTTAAAAAAATCGAGTGTTTGAATGATCAACTTATTTCAAAATTCTTAGGGTTTTTAAAAGCTCTCCTTAAAGTTCACACCTCCCTGCCTTATAAGAAAGATAACAATAATAGCCTTGAATTTAATTTAAATCATAAATGTATTACAAAAAATTTATCTATATATTATAAAAAAATTAAATTATCAATCAAAATGAACATTATGGCTTTAATTTGATCTTTTTTATAATTTTAACTAATATTCAATATTTTAAGCGATTTTTTACTTTGAAAATGCTTTTGTTTTATTTCATGAGTTTTGCAAAGCTTCTTCGTTGGATCAGCCGTTTGCGCTGCAATGTTTTAGGCCATGTAAATCATCCATTAGCGAGAGGGTCTCAAACTGGTTGTAGTCTATATTAAAATTGGCGTATATTCTCTACTCCGTGAATGAGTGATATAGTAATTTTCATTCATCTTGCCCTCTCGAAAATCCAGTTTCATGAAATTCTTGCGTATTTTTTATATCATTGCATGTAACAAGCTATATATAATTAATACTTTAAGTCCTCCCTTAGCGACCTTTATGAAATCGAAACTACTGAAAATCGCCAACTTTTTAATTGAAAGCGTCGTCTTAATTCATAGCGACTTATATGGTCAAAAATTTTGTGAGCAGAGCTATATCTGACATGTTTTCACGCTCATTGTAGCTTTCAGAAGGTGACTTTGAATTCAAGGAATTTATTTATTTTTACTCGAGTCCTAATCTACTAGTTTCTATGGAGAATTGCCAGAATTGGCTGAGTCATATTTCAAGTAGTCTTATATTGACTTTAATCGCGCATCGTTTCATTTTAATAGAATCGTCTAATTCCTTAGCGTATGAGTGTATTTTTCTATCTCTTTCCGTGGACTTATGCCAAAAGTTGCTAAGTTCTTATCATATTTTCAAATTGCTTGTCAGTATTGATTCTAACTTCAAAGCATTTTATTTTATTCTATTATAAGCCTTTACTACGTTGGCAGAAAGACATGCAATATAGTAAACTTATAGTTAGTAACAAAATAGGGCAATCAAAATTGACAATCAGAACTTTTTACTATACTTGGTAACAAAATAAGCCAATACAAATGGCCGGTGACACGTTTAATCTTATATTTGGTTTGCAAACGCGCTTGAAAGTCAGATTATTGGTATTAACACTAGCCATAGTCATTTACTTCGAAAGGGCACTTGTCGTTTATCGTTGAAGCCTTGAGGGCTAAATGAACCTCCACGTGCGTGTGTGACATCAGTTTCGTTTACATATGTCAACAATATCTTGAATGATATGAAATATATAGCTACACTGATTTACAAAAATAAACACAGAACTATATCACCAATAAAACGGGAATATTTTCAGAAATACATCGCACTGAACGGTGGGTTCAGTAATAAACGCAGCTCCAAGACGGAAGTGTGGAAAAATGACTGCAACAAAACACAACTTATTTGTTCTATATCCAATCCTGATCATATCACATGCGTTCTACAGCGTCACAGAAGCAGGTATAAGTTTTTAGTTGAACAGTAACCTTATTTTTACTTTTATTTTTCCCGTTTTCCAGTAACCAATGGATTGTTTTGCTATAATGTTGTAGCGAGTGTTGATTTACCCAAATCTTATATCGTTTTTATCGTTATTCTTCCAACTCTATGGAAACTCCCCCCACTTGTTTGTCACTTGGAACATTAAAAAATTAGAACTTGATTTCAACTACTTTCCCTCAAGTATCGCCACGTTTTCCAACTTCATCACCATCATGAAATACACTATTATATTTTACTGCTGCCTGCCGAGGATTAACTTGAAATCCAGCAATTTTATTCAACCCAATATTATATAATGCTGAGAAGTGAGTGTCAATTTTGTACATGTATTGGTATTTTGAGATTCAGTTATTTGGTCTAATTTTACTGATGATGAATGAAGTGGTTATAAGCGTTCAAGAGAGCAAAAATCCCCTTAATTAAATAAAATCCACCTTGTTTCACCCAATCTGTTTCAGTAAATGTTGAAACTTCGGATTACTTGGCTAATAAAATCGGCCAAGGTCATACATTTAGCTAGCTGCTAGCAGTAAAAATTCAAACTATATAACGCAACCATAAGCAAAGTCGCGTAAGTACATTTTAACAAAAACAGGGATTTTACATGCTTTTTAAAAAAGATCTTCAGTTGACCTTGTTTTAATCAAATAAATTGTTTACCAAACAACGCACCGTTTCAATATACAGGCACTTAGATTTTCGAAAAAGATGTCTGTCCCAATTAGACGCTTTTTAATAATCAATAATCAGTCTACAACTAAAGTGATCGCACTCGATTTATAATGAATTTGAACCTGAGTATTCTGTACTTTGCATGAACAGTATTTTTAGCCTTTGTATTTTCTAGTCTTGGGTGGGCAGGTGTCTGCCAACTACCGTTACCCTAGGCAACTTTCCTTGCAACGTGCAATGTAATTGTACTCTTGAGGCTTCTATAGTCAAATACGAACATTTCGTACGATCTGCTAACTTTTCTTAGCATTTGAACACTCTTTACAAATGAAACATCGCTCAAAATTGTGGTTGATTTGCAAGTTGGAAGGGAAAGTGCTTAGTGCAACAGCGCCTTCAGTTGACGTTGTCTCTCTTCCAGGTGGAAGTGGATGTCCGATGTTGGGAAAATATTTTGGTAAATTTTGTTACTTCGCGAATAGTAAACGTTTCAGTTGGACTTATGCGAATATACAATGTACCAAAATGGGTGGCCAGCTTGCCAGGGTGACCAGTGGTGCTCTTAACACATTTCTTGCGCAAACATTCAGAGTTGAAAGGGCTTGGATTGGATTAACAAAGTGCCGAGGGAAATGGTGTTACCCCGATAGAAAAACATCATTTTATTACAATTGGGATACGAATCAGCCAGATAATAAAAGAAGATATGAATATTGTGTAGAAATGTTCCAGAACACACGATTCAGTGACGAACGATGTGCATCCCCCAGGGCATCTATCTGCGAAATACGTATGTTCTACTTTATTTATTAATTTATACTATGAATACATCAATCCAGTCGGTATATACAAGGTGAGTTAAAAAACCTGACACCTTTGAAATTCAAATTAGCCGCGAACTTATGGCTGGAATTTGACAATTCCCATTGTGTACAATCAACAAGACGTGGTTAATTAATGCGAAAGTATTTAAACCAATTGAACTAATTCGAATTTCTTTTGTATTACAGGGCTTAGAATGCATTTTTTAATTAATGGTTCACTTAGTTGATATGCTTCGTATACCCATGAGATATTTTAGGCAACTTCTGTCACATTACAGCCGATTACAGACACATTGCAGCTAATTTGAATTTCAAAGGTGTTGGGTTTTTTTCTCACCCTCTTTTAATGGCAGAATACCAATAGAAATATTTTTAGGACAAATTAATCCTTTCCACCCGACTATCAAAGGGTTAAAAGCACTATAAAATTTCGAGAATATTCTGTACGGCAATCCACAAATTAATTTACGTAATTTATACACTATAATTTCGACAAGTGCACTTAAGCTCACTCAAACTCATGGAGGGAGATCTCAATCACTTCATATAGCCTTTATCTTAAATCTCCTCATAGATTTAGAAAGCTTAAGATTAGATTAAATTTTTTCATGGATTAATTTGCATTGATGAATAATAATACGAATAATAATATAATTTTCTATTTCAAAAAATTCAGCTAATTTTGCCAACGTGATAATGTACTAACTGGTACAAATTTTTAACACTATAACAGCAGTAGACGACGTTGATGAATGTTTGTTGGGAACACACAGGTGTCATTCCCAAGCCACGTGCAACAATACCATTGGATCATACACATGTACTTGTAACGAAGGATTTATAGGAAATGGCAACGTTTGCAATGGTACATTACATTACACTACACTTCAAGTTGTATTAAAAAGAGTTTCCGCTTGGTAAATGTCTTATACTTTATTTTCAGTCGTCCATAAACTTCGTTTTTGAATTCATTTCTAAAAACACGTCTCTTATTCGCAAAAACGCTATTTTCGCACACTTTTTGTGTACAGTAGCAGTGCGAAGGTCTCAAACTATCCACGCATACCAAGAAAATTTCCTAACGATACGGGTTCCGAGAAGACATTTACTTAAGTGGTGAACGATTTTATACCCCCTATATAAAAAGTGCATTTATGCTTAGTCACATTTACCTAGGTAATGAACCCATGTTTTTTGCATTTTACTAATTTAGACAAGGATGAATGCGCTTTGGAAACTCACAGATGTCATTATCAAGCGCTGTGCAACAATGCGATTGGATCATATAGCTGTACTTGTAAAGAAGGGTTTACAGGGAGCGGAAACATTTGTAAAGGTATAGTTAATGGTACTGGTACGATAGCATGGGCTTTTTGAAATGCTAAAATGCAAATATATTTTAACACTACCATGATAATATTTTTTTATGATAAAAGTTTTGAAGCGCTTCATCCAGATCTTTTAGGACATGATTTCAGGGCAAGCGTCATGAATGATCCTTTCTTATCAAAATACTGTCTTGTCACACTTTTATCCATTATTTCATGCTTTTGCAAGGATTTTCTTCTTTTGGCTTTTAGTAGTTCCTCCATTCAGTGCGGCTTGTTCGCATGCAAATAACGTACCATCACTAATTTTCTTATTCTCATTTTCTCATTTCTCATTCTCGCTAATGAAAATTGCAATTAATATAATTTTTTGGAAATCAACGATCATAGACAATGATGAATGTCGTTTGGAAACACAGAGCTGTCATTCTCAAGCCTCTTGCACCAATACTATTGGATCATTCACCTGTACTTGTAATGAAGGATTTTCAGGAAATGGTAACGTTTGCAAAGGTACAACAAGTCAGATAGTAAGAAAAAAGGGCTCTGAATTATATTTGCATACTGGGTGGTGATTTTTTTATTTTGTGCAACAATGCAATTGAATGATATATACTTGTACTTGTTATAACGGATTATCAGGAGATGGAAAAGTTTGCGAATGCGCAGAAAATTATTGCATAACATGTGTTCATGTTTATGTAAATGCCGATAGTAAACCTTATTATGTTTCAATCTATATCAATCACTTAGACAAAGATGAGTGTTCGCTGAAAAATCACAAATGTCATTTTAAAGCCTCGTGCAACAATGCCATTGGATCATACACCTGTACTTGTAATGACGGATTTACAGGAAATGGGACCGTCTGCAAAGGTATAGAATGTATGGAGGCGTTTTCATTTGCATGCTGACGTTATATTTTTTGGAATCTTCAATTTAAGAACAGAGCCGCCACAATACTTAAGAAATAGAAAACATTTTCCGTGTTTTTATACAGTTATAGAAACACGCGTGGGAGTTTGGGAGAACGAGAAATAATCAGTGGGAAAACGAGCCCGTAGGGCGAGTTTTTCCCCGATATTTCGAGTTCTCCCAAACTCCCACAAGTGTTTCTATAACTGTATAGAAACACAGGAAAAACGTTTTCTATTTCTTTTATAATATAACTCGATAAAAAGAATTTGTACAAATATTATAATTCGATTCTATTACAAATTCTCATTACATCGTTTCGTTTGTCAAGTTCGGCGGGAAAATTCCCGTGTTTCTATACAGTTATAGAAACATGCTTCTCGACCAATCAGCACGCGCGTACTATAAATGTTATATTATAATATAGGATGATACAACTGTACTTGTACATGAAGGGTTTTCACGAAATTAGTGCACATAAGTTTTATTTGCAAACTAGGTAGTAAATATTTTTATTTTGGAATCTACTATAGACATTGATGAATGTACTTTGAAAACGAAAAAGTGTCATCCTCAAGCCTCATGCAACAATTCCATTGGATCATACACCTGCTCTTGTAACAAAGGATTTATTGGAAATGGGACCATTTGCAAAGGTATGAATGTAGCATACGTGCTTTATTTTTGTCACGCTGAATACTGAATATTTTGGAATGCATAACGCAGACGAGAATGAATGTGCCTTGGAAACTCACAGATGTGATTCTCACGCGACGTGCAGCAATACTTTTGGAACATACACATGTACGTGTAATCGAGGATTTAACGGAAATGGGACCGTTTGCGAAGGTATTGTTGCGTTAGCATACGAACTTTATTAATTAAGTGCGGCCAGTTTGCATGCAAATAACGTACCACCACTTTGCATGTTTATTCATTAAAATCATCAGTAAATCATTAATAAACAGATTGTGCGTTTATCAACCAATTAGCATTCACTAATTTTTTCATGCTAATGAAAAGTGCAATTAATATTATTTGTTTGAAATCAACGATCATAGATAATGATGAATGTCGTTTGGAAACACACAGTTGTCATTCTCAAGCCTCTTGCACGAATACTATTGGATCATTCACCTGTACTTGTAATGAAGGATTTTCAGGAAATGGCAACGTTTGCAAAGGTACAACAAGTCAGATAGTAAGAAATAAGGGCCCTGAATTATATTTGCATACTGGGTGGTGATTTTTTTGTTTTGTGCAACAATGCAATTGAATGATATATACTTGTACTTGTTATAACGGATTATCAGGAGATGGAAAAGTTTGCGAATACACAGAAAATTATTGCATAACATGAGTTCATGTTTATGTAAATGCCGATAGTAAACCTTACTATGTTTCAATCTATATCAATCACTTAGACAAAGATGAGTGTTCGCTGAGAAATCACAAATGTCATTCTCAAGCCTCATGCTACAATACCATTGGATCATACACCTGTACTTGTAATGAAGGATTTACAGGAGATGGGACCGTTTGCAAAGGTATAGAATGTATGAAGGCGTTTTCATTTGCATGCTGAAACAATATTTTTGGAATCTTCAATGTCAGAACAGAGCCGCGTCAATACTATAGGATGATACACCTGTACTTGTAATGAAGGATTTATTGAAATGAAAACGTTTGCAAGGGTGCCGTAAAGAAAACGGTGGCAAATAAGTGCACATAAGTTTCATTTGCAAACTAGATAATAAATATTTTTATTTTGGAATCAACTATAGACATTGATGAATGTACTTTGAAAACGAAAAAGTGTCATCCACAAGCCTTGTGCAACAATTCCATTGGATCATACACCTGCTCTTGTAATAAAGGATTTATTGGAAATGGGACCATTTGCAAAGGTATGAATGTAGCATACGTGCTTTATTTTTGTCACGCTGAATACTGAATATTTTGGAATGTATAACGCAGACGAGAATGAATGTGCCTTGGAAACTCACAGATGTGATTCTCACGCCACGTGCAGCAATACTATTGGAACATACACATGTACGTGTAATCGAGGATTTAACGGAAATGGGACCGTTTGCGAAGGTATGGTTGCCTCAGCATACGCACTTCATTAATGTCATGCTGTTTACCGAATATTTTGGAGTGCAAAACAGTTTGCATCAGAGAGTATGAAATTATCGCTCTTAATTTTATCTGCCTACTTGTAATCAATATATATTTTTTGGAATCAACAATAGACACTGATGAATGTACTTTGGAAAGTCACAAATGTCATTTTCGAGCCTCGTGCAACAATACCATTGGATCATACACCTGTTCTTGTAATAAAGGGTTTATAGGAAATGGGACCGTTTGTGAAGGTTTGGCTATGTAGCAAATGTTCTTTATTAATGACACGCCTATTACGAAATATTTTAGAATATATGTATATTCATGCTAGACGAAGATGAATGTTCCTTGAAAACTCGCAGTTGTCATTTGCAAGCCTCGTGCAAGAATACTATTGCATCATACACCTCTCGTATTACAATGCAATTCTACTCCCGAGGCTTCTATAGTGGTCAAATATGAACATTTTTTACGATCTGCAACACTCTTTACAAATTAAGCATTCCTCAAAATTATGATTGCTTTGCAAGTTGGAAGGGAAACTGCTTAGTGTAACAGCGCGTTCAGTTGACGTTGTCTCTCTTCCAGGTGGAAGTGGATGTCCGACGTCGGGGAAATATTTTGGTAAATTTTGTTACTTCGCGAATAGTAAACGTTTCAGTTGGACTTATGCGAATATGCAATGTAACAAAATGGGTGGCCAGCTTGCCAGAGTGACCAGTGGTGCTCTTAACACATTTCTTGCGCAAACATTCAGAGTTGAAAGGGCTTGGATTGGATTAACAAGGTGCCAAGGGAAATGGTGTTACCCCGATAGAAAAACATCATTTTATTACAATTGGAATAGAAATCAGCCAGATAATAAAAGAAGATATGAATATTGTGTAGAAATGTTCCAGAACACACGATTCAGTGACGAACGATGTGCATCCCCCAGGGCATCTATCTGCGAGATATGTATGTTCTACTTTGTTGACTAATTTATACTATGAATATATGAATATCAATCCAGTCGGTATATATAATGCCAGAATACAATACCTATAGAAATATTTTTAGAGACAAATTATTCCTTGTCGCTAGACTATCAATTCGCCGTAGCTTTGGTACAAATATTATAGGGTAATATTCACAAAGGGTTAAAAAGCATTACAAAATTACGAGAATATTCTGTACGGATCCACAAATCAATTTACGTAATTTATATACTACAATTTCGACAAGTCCGCTTAGCCACTTACGCCTGTATTCCAAAAGCTCACTTAAGCTTAAACTCATGGAGGGAGATCTCAATCACTTCACATACCTTTTATCTTAAATCTCCTCATAGATTTAGAAAGCTTAAGATTAGATTAAATTTTTTCATGGATTAATTTGCATTGATGAATAATAATACGAATAATAATATGATTTTCTATTTCAAAAATTCAGCTAATTTTTCCAACTTTTACAAATTTTTTAACACTATAACAGCAGTAGACGACGTTGATGAGTGTTTGTTGGGAACACACAGGTGTCATTCTCAAGCCACGTGCAACAATGATGCTGTTGGATCATACACATGTACTTGTAACGAAGGATTTATAGGAAATGGCAACGTTTGCAAAGGTATAGAATGTATGGACACCTAATTTTTTGGCATCTTCAATGTCAGAACAAAGCCGCCACAATACTATAGGATGATACACATGTACTTGTAATGAGGTGTTTTCAGGAAATGAAAACGTTTGCAAGGCTACCGTAAACAAAACGGTGGCAAAAAGGTGCACATAAGTTTCATTTGCACACAAGGTAATAAATATTTTTATTTTGAAAACTACTATAGACATTGATGAATGCACTTTGAAAACGAAAAAGTGTCATCCACAAGCCTTGTGCAACAATTCCATTGGATCATACACCTGCTCTTGTAACAAAGGATTTATTGGAAATGGGACCATTTGCAAAGGTATGAATGTAGCATACGTGCTTTATTTTTGTCACGCTGAATACTGAATATTTTGGAATCTATAACGCAGACGAGAATGAATGTGCCTTGGAAACTCACATATGTGATTCTCACGCTACGTGCAGCAATTCTATTGGAACATACACATGTACGTGTAATCGAGGATTTAACGGAAATGGGACCGTTTGCCAAGGTATGGTTGCGTTAGCAGATGCGTACGTGCTCTAGGGTTTATAGGAAATGGGACCGTTTGTGAACGTGTGGCTATGTATACTAGCAAATGTTCTTTGTTAATGACACGCCTATTACGAAATATTTTGGAATATGTGTATATTCATGCTAGACGAGGATGAATGTTCCTTCGAAACTCGCAGTTGTCATTTGCAAGCCTCGTGCAAGAATACTATTGGATCATACACCTGTTCTTGTAATGGAGGGTTTTCAGGAAATGGGACCTTTTGCCAAGGTACAATAAGTCTGAGAGTAGGAAATCAGGGTAACTTATTTACTTGCATGCCGGGTTATAAATAATACTTTATGGAATCAACTATATAGACAGTGATGAATGTACTCTGAAAACTCACAAATGTCATCCTCAAGCCTCGTGCAACAATTCCATTGGATCATACACCTGTTCTTGTAATAAAGGATTTATTGGAAATGGGATCGTTTGCAAAGGTATGGACGTGGTAACCTTCCCTTTTTATTTTTGACATGCTGAGTGCTGAATATTTTGGAATGTATAATGTAGACTTGGATGAATGTGTCTTGAAAACTCACACATGCCATTCTCAAGCTACGTGCAGCAATACCATTGGATCATACAACTGTACTTGTAATGGAGGATTTATTGGAAATGGGATCGTTTGCGAAGGTATGTTTGCGTTATCATCATACGTGAAGTATTAATGACTTGCTGTTTACCGAATATTTTGGAGTACAGGAATGTTTTCAAAAGCATCATAAGTCTGACAGTAAGGAATGATGGCTATTATGCTTACTTTTTACTGGATATTGTATTTTTGGAATCAACCATAGACGCTGATGAATGTACATTGGAAAGTCACAAATGTCCTTCTCGAGCCTCGTGTAACAATACTCTTGGATCATATACTTGTTCTTGTAATGAAGGATTTGAAGGAAATGGGACCATTTGTAAAGGTACAATAAGTCATAGAGTAGAAAATCGGGGTCGTTATTTTTAATTACATGCTGAGTACTAAATATTTTTACTAAAGACCGTGATGAATGTACTTTGAAAACTCACCAATGTCATCCTCATGCCTCGTGCAACAATACCAATGGATCATATACTTGTACTTGTAATAAAGGACTCAAAGGAAATGGGACCGTTTGTGAAGGTATGGTTACGTTAGCATTAGCGTTTTGTTAATGCATTGCTGAATATCAAATGCTTGTGAGTCTGTATTCTTAGACATGGATGAATGTTCCTTGAAAACTCACAGATGTCATTCTCAAGCCACTTGCAACAATACTATTGGATCATACAGCTGTACTTGCAACAGAGGATTAAAAGGAAATGGTACCATTTGTGAAGGTATGGTTGCGTTAGCATACGTGCTTTCATGGCATGTTGTTTACCGAATATCTTGGAATTTGTATTCAATGTAAAACGAGAATGAATGTGCCTTGAAAACTCACAGGTATCATCCTCGAGCCAAGTGCAGCAACGCTGCTGGGCGATACACTTGTACCTGTAACAAAGTGTTTGATTTGTAAAGATACATGTATGTTTATTGCAAAAATAGAATAATATACACAACTTTAATCAATTACTAAAGATGTTTCGGGTGTGCAAATTACACACAACACAAACTGTTAACCTTTCGTCAGGCGTGACAAGCGTAAAAAAAGATAGATAATGCGTGGGAAAATGAACAAAATAGACTATGCAATATTTGCCACGCCGATCCAACCTGAAAGTGCAAATATGAGAAATGCAGATAATGAAAAATTTAAGAGCATAACATATACCACATGAATTACAATCCATTTTAAATCTATGATTTGATAATACACTTCATACTCGGAAATGCCATTTTTTCTGTTGAAAATTGAAAAAAAAGCATTCCGCGAAGGATTCCTAGAAAAACACGAATGCGTAGATGAACAAATGATACGCTCCACTCATCGTGCAAGTTTTTAAACCGAACGAGAAGTAGATACAAAAATTAACTTTATTTAATTTATTTTATTTATTTCAATGTTATTTTATTAATTTATTAATTTTTTCATATTCTACTAGTCTTAATTCCCCAACGAAAAAACAGGTTCGTTTCTTTAGTCTTGGTTTCTGGTAAAGTGAACTTCAGCAAGAAAGACAAGTTTAGAAAACTCATGAAGGAGGTAAATTAGAATTATGGACGTTCATACTATAAATCCCAATAATTGTGCAGTAATGCCACGTTGGACTGATCAATCATCAATCAGCACAAAAGTTTTTCCGCCCATAAGAAGTTAATTATTCAACTTTTAGGTCGATGAATTATATAAAAAGAATGCAACTGCTCGAGAAAGATCCGCGCAAAATATCATCCAAGAACTGTCTAATCTTACTGGACGTTATCCTGGAAATGAAAAGGAAGAAATGCTACGTTCCGAATATCTTTATGGCACCGTTAAAATAATCCAGAAAATTGTTAATTTAAATATTTCTGATGATTGCTTTAACATATTGGGTCCCGCAAATAATATATTGGATGATAGAAACAGAAAATCGTGGAGAAATATGACGGTGAGTTCTCATATTTTCCATTTTCCTCCATTTCTTATCGCTTTTCCTGCCGCAAAAGTACGCACGCTTTTCTTCTCATTCTTCTTGTTTTGCTCGTGATAACGTGCCAACGAGTTTACTTTGAGAATTTAGTTTGCATTCAGCGAAGAATCGTGCAGCGGACAATGTGAGTGCGCCATTTCAAAATACTATAGTACGCTGGCCAACCACATACAAGTGCTCACATTATGTGACAAGTTTTCTTTGTTCACTCATAAAGACTAGCAAAATTCTCGGTCCAGTTCTTAGGTTTGTCCCATGAAAATAATTGCACTGATTTATGTGGCACACACAGAAGAACAAGGCCATTTACTTTTACTCACTTTACTATATTGTGCTTCTCGCAAGACGCACCTTTCCTACCCCCTGTCGGTTTTTACATCTAATCTTAGAATTGTTCATCGTATTTCTACTTGCCATCTTTGCGTTTCCTAACCAAGACTTTTCTTTCTTTCTTTCTTTCTTTCTTTCTTTCTTTCTTTCTTTCTTTCTTTCTTTCTTTCTTTCTTTCTTTCTTTCTTTCTCTCTTTCTTTCTTTCTTTCTTTCTTTCTTTCTTTCTTTCTTTCTTTCTTTCTTTCTTTCTTTCTTTCTTTCTTTCTTTCTTTCTTTCTTTCTAAATCCTCCAAAAAATATTGTTTAATTCATTTCTTTGTTAACATAAATCTCCCACGCTCTGTAGGATGTCCATTACATTTTAGAATTTTCTCTTCACTTTCTTTTAAAAATTCTTCCTTTTATTCCTCTGTTAGAACCGGAATTTGGTCCGTGATCTGGCGATAACATTGCAAAATTATGGATTTCAATGTGGGGAGAAATTAAAGAACAACAAAAGTACCTTGCCCATATTTCGCAATCATTCTAACGTTCAGATACGTGTCAAATACCAAAAGCCCTCAGAATTTCCACCTCAGGAAAGGGTTTTCAATTTCCCAAATACATCGTTCATTTTATCACCGGACGCAATTCGGAACACTTCCGGAGCTGTGGTAGTTGTCGTGTGGTATAAGACACTGAACTTATTCCTCACAAACATTGATTATGATGGCAGTAACCATACAATAAACAGCAAAATCATTACTGCTAGCGTCCGACCTGAACCAAAAATGTCGTTTAAAGAACCTGTTCGTATCATCTGGGACGGAAAAGGATTGGTATGTGCGGTAGATATTCTGCATGAAGCTTAGAAATATAATGAATCTTTTCATTCTTGTAATGGTAAGAATGTTTTCATTTTGTGGAATATTCAACGATTTCGGTTTCACCTTAAATGTTGAATGCAACGATCCAACTTCACGTCATAAAAATATGCGATACATTCCACCTAAAAAAATTAAATTATACGTATACTATTCCACCTGTTCCATGGAATTTTATTATAGTATTAATTATACATTAGCTGCATTTAATAAACACAGAATAAAAAAATGCGAATCCTAAAAATTGATTCTTCGTGCTTAGGACAAACCAAAACGTTGCGTGTATTGGAACCCGGAATTAAATGAGAATGAGTGGAAATCCGACGGATGCAAAAGAGGGGAGTTAAATAGTGACCGTTTACTATGTGAATGTGACCATCTCACTGCTTTCGCTAATATGGACATTTCGGAGACAAGTTTGGTAAGATTTGAAAGCTACAAAGTGTAATATATTGCATAGGAATTTCTTTATTCACTAAAGGTAATTCAATATATTCATTTTTCTAAGTTAAGTAAAGCTGAGCGGGGCGCTTTGGAGAAAATAACAACAGTTGGTTGTGTTCTATCATTGGCTGGTGTGATATTGACGATATTAGCCCACGTGTTGCAGTGGAAAAGAATCCACAGAAATGCCAAAAGCAAAGTTCCTTCTAAAGTTCTCATGAATCTCTGCGTTGCCATTGGAATGACAAATGTCCTTGCTATCCTTGCAGGACCTGGACGTGATGAAGAGGTTTGGATACCTTTAACTGCAAATTCTTTTAACACCAATTAATTTTCTTTTTGCCTTCATCTTCCCATAAAACTATTTATCTATTTAACTTAGCATCAAATGTTGTATAACAACACCTAAAATAGACAATAAAATTCTCGACGTTTCGACCCGAGGGCCTTCGTCAGGAGAGTTAGTAGAGTTAGTCCTACTAACTCTCCTGACGAAGGGCCTCAGGTCGAAACGTCGAGAAGTCTTTTGTCTTTGTTTCGAAACTTATTCATCTATTTACCTTCATCATTGATTTTTCTTTTTCTTTCAGTTATTTTGCATAACCGTTTCAATCTTGTTATATCTTTCGGTGCTCGCTTTATTTGGATGGATGTTATGCGAAGGGATAGTAATTTATTTACAACTGGTTAATGTTTATGCCGGTTTGAGCTTGGGAGGCAAATATATGAAGACATTCTATGCTATTGGTTGGGGTGAGTGCAGCTATCAAACTTTACAGGATGCGGAAAATTTTGTTTGATAGTTAGTGTTATAATAATAATAAGATAATAGTATTGAAAATAACTACCAAAGAGAACGATGCTTCAAATCAAAACTAAAGCTTACTTCACACTTGTCCCTGCCTGAAGCAGCCCTTCGTATTATTTTCCAACGTAAGATTTTGTTTGCTAATCACTATGGATACGATTCAATTTGCTAATCACTACGGACACGATTCAACCTAGGCTTTTCGGACGTGTGTACGCGAATACGCAATTCGGAATTTTCAGCAGTCTGCCTTCCCAGTGCATACAGGCTTCACCTGCTTTTAATTTACGCTCTCTTCGAAGAACGTCTTTACTGAAATGCTGTCTTTGAATCTTATGTAGGATTTCCATTGACCATTGTCGTACTGTTAGTTGTGGTATATCAACCATTTGACTTTATCTCAGACCACTCATGTTGGTGCCCGGTTGGCGGTGTGCTTTTTTGGATTTTTGTGGGCACGATGGGGCTGATATTGCTGGTAAAGTATATATTATTTAAATGATCTGTAGAATGCAAAAAATTATTTTCATATTGCTTTGATTATAAAATTCCGTTTACGGAAATGTAAAGTTTCCCAATTCGGCGGATATTTGCCATTTGCCGGACCCATGTTCGAAACCTGTCGGTATTTACTGGACCGTGTCGAAACGCACAAGCACAAACTTTAAAAGAATATCATCTTTTGTGGTAAAAAGTAAGAAAAATGCCCGAAAAGTAGAAAAAATTATCCAAAAGTGAAATGATACATGCACTAAACTTTTTTTTCCAAATTGGAATTTATTGTCACGAAAGGCCTTAATGTGTTCAATTCCAGCTCTTTCATAACTACATATCAATGTAGCTTCGGTTTCCCGGATATCAGGACAAGTGGAAGTTACTTCGTATAACACATGATCAAGGTTTCACTTATAATCGCACCTGGCAAACTTTGTTAAAAACGCAATCGATCCAACATTACAGGAAGAAATGTCCTGCATGTGTCTCCTTTTTTGGTGCATGAAAATCATTGATTTCGAGGTTATACCTTGGATATGTATAATAATAAAATGTTTACAATTTCAGATCAACATCGTTATCTTTTTTCTGGCTTTACGAAAAGCTTTGTCATCCAGCGAAGTGAGCACAATCCGTAGTGAAGCTGATACCGTGTTAAGAAAAGCAAAAATCGGCTTGAAAGGTTCCGCTGTGCTTCTTCCAATACTTGGACTAACCTGGGTGTTTGGATTGCTGGTATTCAATCGAGATACAGTTGTGTTTAAATATTTATTCGCAATATTTAACTCGCTACAAGGAATGATGATATTTGCTTCCCATGTGCTTTTAAATACAAAGGTAATCACCTCTTAGTGCTAGTTGTGACTTCACTAGCTAAACTGTCTCGCTGTCTTAAAAATGCGATGTTGTTTAGATATTATGGAGCTTTAACTGTGACTATGAATACCTGTAGTATTTTCGCGTCATTTTCGTGTTAAATTCGCTTCTTTTGCCTGCGCAATCTCTCGAAACTCGTTGGACCGTAATTTTGAAGGTACGAAATTTCTCAAAAACCATGGGCAGTCCAACTTTTAAGCAAATGGCGAAATATTTCGCCTGCTCCTTCTAAATTGACCGTAACGAAAAAGATGGCGGCATGCACATTTTACCAGAATGCATTTCTGGCTTTAAGAATGATTGACTGAAAAAAGATGGCAAGAAAAACTCCTAATGACGTGAAATTTTAACACAGCGAAGAAAATAACTTCCTGTTTCATGCCTGTCCTTTAAAAGATGTCGGTTCGCTTTTTTAAACGATTTCCGACCGCAATGCATTCTGGTAAAATGTACATCCGCCATCTTTTTTGTTATGGTCAATTGCGAACGCTGTTTCTTATTTCTTATAGTTTCACGACGCCTTCTTGCAAGAAAAGAGAAATCGTAATGAAAGACGCAATACCTATGCTATGATAAAAAACAATACTTCCAGTAAGTTTAACTTTAAATATTTACATAAATTTGTACAAAACATATTCATGTTTACAGACCATTAGGAACAATTCCTTTTTAATTTTCGTATATTTAGGCAGTATATTACAAACAACAAGTGAATATAGCAGTAGAAAATTCAGTGTCTCACCTCAACCAGTATTCTTGAGAGGAACTTTTGACAGATCAGCAATAAAAGTGGAGAAAAAATGCACCCCAGAAAGAATTACAGACGGTTTAGTCCAAGATCTAGCTATATAGAGGAATGAGTGTTCCATAATGATGGCCAGAGAGTTCACTCAGTGGAAGGTAGTAGTTATTCATAGTCCGTGCTAGGCAAGACAAAAAACCATTCCATAAGCGAGGAGTGAAACTAAGGCTTGTTTTTATACAGCGTGTACTTCTGCAAGCTATAGGGTTTTCATTGTATTGGCGCTCGCGCGTGTTACATCTATTATAATGACAAGATTGGCATTTTTTTACTAAAACATAGTGCTTCGTTTGTTAAAGTTTGCCAATGAAAACAATAAAAAAATTTAAAGTAATGTTATTAGTCGGTAATTTTATTGCATTCCACACGATGCTGGAAGAATTTGAAAACGCACGAATATTCCGCCGGTTAGGCGTACCGTCCACACGTATCCGGCGTTTTCGCCCACTGAAAACGGAAGAATATTAGCCCTGTCCACACGATGCCAGATGAATTTGAAAACACAAGAATATTCCCACTGTTACGCGTACCGTCCACACGTATCCGGCGTTTTATACGTGCGTGGACAGCTTTGCCGCATAAAATTGAAAACGATGACGTCAGGCATCAAATCGTTTCCATATTAATGAGGCTTGTTTCACGTCTTGTGATTTAAGCACAACTTTATATTGCTATATCAACATCAAATAAGTCTTATTTAGGTTATTTTCATGTTGAGTAAAATCCTCGCCAATTCTTTTAGCATTTGCAGAAGTATTTTACGAGAGAACGTGTCTAAAATGTTTGAGTATGGTTATACACAATTTCTTATACACGACATGCATTTAATAGATACTCAACAACAATATTTAGAAATTCGGGCTGTCATCTGTCCAAGTCCTCATGGCTTATTTTTCACTTTGGATTTGGTAGATTTCTGCTTTCATTTCGATATCCCACCTGTGACACGCGGGTGGAAAACATGCAGGTGTATTGCGGGATCAAATAACTTTAGCGTTCTCGGATCGTTTTTGTGTTTACATGTGGACGCGGATAAATATTTTAACGGATAAATATTTTTGCGTTTTCAAATTCTTCCGGCATCATCTAAACAGGGCCTTAAAATCGATTTGAAGGAAATGACAGATTCAGCAATTTTTGCCTCATGGGAAAGATTGTTCTAATGTAGGGCTGCACTATAATTGAAGCACCTTTTACTAAATTATTTTTTCGGCATGCATGGTGCTTGATCAGTTTCCCTGTTTCGTACATATAATATCTCTTTCATACTTCAGATGAATTTTTTTAAGGTTGGGTGCAGGCGGTGTGGCCATTTAAAATCTTATAGATAAAAAAAGGTCTTTTGTAATTTTGTCTTACTTCCAGAGGTTGTCAGTTCCATTACTCTTGCGACTTGATTTTGATATTTTTGTAACCTGTCCTTCAGGCCAATTTCACAATTATGAATTTTACCATAACGCGCTACATGTAATCGAAATAAGGCTGCACAGTTGCATGTATGGTACAACATTTTTAGAGTATCCCTTCCTACAATGCAAAGTCTCCAGCTGGAAAAACGACTGTCAATTGGCGTTTTAGCAGCAATTCAAAAAAATACGTCATTATAGCATATAATATATCGTAGGTGATCCCTGCATAGTCAGTTTCACAAAACTCTGTCCAAATCTCATTCGCTTTTAGCATCTTTAAAATAAATATTTCAAGTTGAGGCTACCGTTATATGAAATAAAATTCGCATGACATTCAGGCTTTAGCAGACTACATTTTAGTAAAAAATCTTAGCTTGCTAACGCTTTCAAAATAATAATCTGATTCTCGTTATCTGATCGTGTAACACGCGCGAGCGCCACGCAAACGAACGCTACGTGCAGATGGAAAACATCCTGCTTCAACACTCACTTAACAAAGCCTTGATTTGCAATTACAAATAACCTTGCAGTTGACACTTTGAATGTCTGATTATTTAGCGACAAAGTTAAACACATTTGATGTCAAATTTCCATTTAGCGGCAGTTAGGCAGTAGCCAAGAAACAGCCAGTCGCTGTTCTTTCGTTTTGTTATATGAATATATGCTTAACACAATGCTATAGACACGTAAACTTACGTGTTGCTTTCGTAGTTAGTATACATGCATGTCTTAATTACGAATTATTAAGTACTATGCCTTCCCTGTTTGAAGATACCCTAAAAATTCATTTTTTATATAAACGACCCTATATTTCATCATGCAGGATGTTCAAGTTAAATGCCGAAAAGATCAAATTAAGGGGCTGTTTACATGAGCCCAGTTACCCGAGATTCAACAAAGCGTGAAACTGACAACATTGAGGTATTGAAATAAGTCTTGACACACAACTAGCACATGCTATTTTTTGGTGATTATACGACTGCCAGGATCTTGTTAACTGCTCAGTTTAATAGCTCAAAATCATCTCACGCTTCGTTCAATCTCGGGTAACCAGGCTCATGTAGACTGCCCCTAACTCAAAGCAGACCCGTGTCTAGTTGTTCAAATTATAATTTCGCACATGATTTGTTGTAGAAAAATATTTTCTGTAATTCTTTGATATCAGTTCAACTTGTGCTTAAGATTAATTTGTTCATATGTAAACTTTAAAAAATTAATCATTCCTTATAAACCCTTTTCTGGCCAAAAACGATAGTTGACCTTGTTTATACGTCAAACCTTGCTCTCGTCGAATGTAATTTCACTAATAGATAATAAAATTAATGATCAATTCGTTTACCTGAGGAGTACTATCATGAATATCATCTCATATATTACTTTAATATGACATTCGACGCAAAAAGTCACCTGTACATAACGTTTCGCAGTATAGCAGTTCAAAATGAAAATTTAACTTCTGTTTACATTTGTGTGTTTACACTGATCACGTTGTACCATATCGTGTTGCATATGCTAATTAAGTAACACTCGAAATATATGCCGCCACTTGTGAGGTGTGGTTTGAACGGAAACTAATAGTCTTTCAGTCAATACAAAACACGTGTGGGAGAAGCATATGGTTACCTAGTAGCAGCACGTCCGCAGGATCTAATTTTAGATACAAATACACTATTCTGTTTGGTGTGACCCAGTTGCCGTCAATGTTCGACAAGCATCTCATTGCCCGTATGTGAAAACAAGTGTTCAATGTCTTTTTTCCTAGTAATATATACCTTACTAAAAGTATACTAGCAGTAATCACAGATTAGTGATGTGCGTTCGGAATGTGTTGATTTCGGTTACCGATCATTAACAAAAATGTTAACATTATAACGTCACATCGTACGTGATTGAAAGGTTACCCGCAAAATGAGTAATTTGACAACAGTGATGGCTCATATGCTTTAATTAACAATAAAATGTCAAAATAGAGCGAGCACATAGTCTCCAGTTACTATGACGACACGTCAGAACGAGGCAAATCTGACATCGCAAATCTCGATATGACACGGCTAGGAAGCGTTCTCCTTCGTCCAACGCAATGATACGAATTTAAGTTTGTTCGGTTTCCGTCAACGTTATAAAAATTTGAAGTGCCCAATATATCGAAACCTGACGAGTGTATAAATCTTTTAAACATATGTAGCTATATCAAATTTGTCTAGCAGGCTTGTACAGGCTAGTTACAACAAATTATCCTAGTTATTATGCATGAAATGATTGAAATCAGAAGTTCAGAACCACGTATTATACTTATATAATGATTATATTAAAGGCAGGGCCCCGGTTGTTTGAAATGCGTGTTTAGCTTAGACCGGCGGTAGATAAACAAAATAAAAAACGAATTTATCTATTTATTGAACATTGAACTGAGCCAGTTGAACTGATATTTCGATGTAAATAGCTTTACTCTCAATGCAAGTACATATTGGCACATAAATGCACATGTATGGCAGTGTTACTTATATCCACCGGTTAAGCTAAACGCCTTTCGAAAAAAAAACCCGGCCCCTGAACTGCAATTATTTAATCCAATATAAAAAATAGAACACCGCCATTGCGTGTCATAAACAATAGTCTCGCGTTAGTGGCTGAGTTTTCGTATCGTCTTCAAGTTGCCTGACTGAAATGACATAAATGATGCATCATATATTTTATTTTCACTATAAGTCGATCCTGGCACAAAGGCCACAATATCGAACAGTGATTGACTTTCGTGTTTGGTACACTTCCTTAAAAACTATCAATAATCTACGACACAGGGCCTATTCTTCTGCAGCAATGCAAACTTTGTATAGTACTGATGGGGATAACTTCAGACTGTTTCAGACGTCGAACTTTTCACTTGCCAAACCTAAAGGTGTTTCACCCATTACCGTCCGCTTCACCGGTGCAAGCAGAGCGGCCTTTGAAAATCTGCCGTCCACGCGACCGTGACGGGTCTGATAAACAAAGCGCGCTTAGCCCGCGCAGACTGGTGACTGTGTCAGTATTTCAGTGGAAGTTTTAATGTAAACGTATGATGTTAGAAAATATTGTCTTCAAAATCCGGTTAAAACGACTATACAAAAAAATAAACTTTGAACATCGCGGCAAAATTGCTATGTTTACAAAGATCCGTGTCTGCCGTTTGAATATAACATCATAGTATGTCAGTTACACAAGGCAAATAATGATAATTGAGTGGAGTCGAGATCTCAAAATTTTAACCAATGGCAGCAAGCCGTGGCCTCCATCATGCACCTTATATTTCGATGTGTGCAATGTTAAAATTTCCATACAAAGTTTTGCTATGACACAAAATTTGAGCGTTTTACTACGGACGTGACTTGGGACAATAGAAAGGCATGAGCACTTAGGTCATTGACCGTTTTGTCTGAGTTGGTGTCATATATCAGACCAACGCGGAAATAAAAGAACACTATAGGACGCAAACGTTCTACTTAAAAGAACTTAACGTTGACTTCAACGTTTATTACACATTTAAAATGGCTTCATTTAAACACTTTTTGTTTTTGTTGTTTCGAGCTTTCCTCATATCGCTTGCGGTCTTCAACGTCAGAGGAGAAGGTAGGTTTGAAGTAAATATACTAATGTACCGCCCAGTCCTAAACAGACAAAAAACTCTCGACGTAAGTGCGGGCCCTAACAAAGACTATTAGATCGAGAAGTTCTTCGTCTATTTTATGTTATTGTATTTTTACTACATTTGATATGAAAGTGCATGTAAAAATGTTTGTAGTTGAAAAACAATAGATTTTTTTTGTCTGTGCGATCGCATCAATTGTGTGATGCAAGAATGCTATAGATTCTGGCGCTCTAAATCGTGGAAGCTGTAGCCTGCTTCCTGTCAAGTGTACATAAATATTATATATTATGTGTAGTGATATGTTATATCGGACGTTTTAGGCAAAAGTAAACTAAGTAAATTCAAAAACAAGGTTATTCGAAAACGATGCCTTTAAATTATCATGAAAGCGTGCGGGGGTGTCGATCATACTTATGCGAATTAATATTTAGGCAACATATATTGGCTGAGAGTGACAATAGGATTTATGGATTTATTAGAATTTTTATTAGAATTCTGAATTCCAATTTGCTGGCAACACTGAGCAGCTTATAAGCGGTTAATTGGGCGAAAATCAACATTGTTTATTCATTTAGAATCAACGCACAAACAAGATTTCGACGATGACAATAATGAATAATTATTAGATGAGATATCGATTGAGCGTGATTTCTAGAATTATCAAGGCAGAGGTCATAGTGCTATCGCCAACAGAGACCGTGATAATTCCCGATATCACGTGACTGACGAAACCAATAATTATTATACTATTTACCTTAAATTACTAAAAAATAGTTATTAAATAGTAGTCATTATCATTTTATTTAAAAATTATTTTATAGCTCCGTTTACACTACACTCAATTTATTGACACGGTACGGCTAAAATGGGTACCCATATGCATACCCTGCCTTTGATTTGGTAACCTGAGCACTAGTAAAATTGGGAACGAATACCCATTTTAACCGTACCTTGCCAATAAATTGAGTGTAGTGTAAACGGTGTTAGTGTAGTCTTACCATTATTGCATTTTTTAAAACCGGCTTTTCTAGCGTCAACACTTGAATAAACGTAGAAACTTTATCTGTAGGTAGGCGTCAAAATTACACAATACCAGGAGGTTGTATATACAGTATGCATGATTGTATATATTATCAATCTTACCAATAATTGGGTGTTTTTTGATGAAGTTTCATTGTTTAAAATTTAGTTTAAATAAGGAATGAGCTCCTTGAGCTCATCATCTGGAAATTAGTTAATCCAACAACCGTCGCTATATGTTAATTGTTATTGTGAATCTTTTCTTCTTTTGCAGTTAAATGTCCGTCATCGTCGAAAACTTTTAACGTTTTTGTTACTTCTTAAATTCTAAATCTTTATCGTGGGAAAGTGCGAACGACAATTGTAAAACCAACGGTGGACAGCTCGCCAGGGTTACGGGAAAACGTCTTAATGATTTCCTGCTGAGAGAATTTAAAGATGGAATAAAAAGTACTGTGTGGATTGGCTTGACATTTCGTAATGGTAAATGGCGTTATCCTGATGATAGCCTATCGACCTATTTCAATTGGGATGATAACGAGCCAAATAATGCACAGGGAAATGAATATTGTGTTGAATATCTAACAAAGGGAAAGTGGAATGACCATACATGCAACACTCCGTGGCCATTTATCTGTGAAAAGGGTATGTCATAATTTAATACACTATGCAATATCTACTAGAAAATTCCACATGAAGTAACCCTGTCTGCAACTCAGTAATTATGAATTTGATATTTTTAAACTATCATAGCGTAGCCAGCCTGACGATTTGTCCCGCTATTATAATATTTTGGTGTTCATTGACTGTGAAAACAATGAAATTCTAAAAACATGAATAATTAACAAACAAAACAAAATAATCGATATTTCATACTGTATTTAAAACTACAAGTAATCCAACATTGCGAGCCCGAGCTTATGCAATCATCATTAAAATAACATTGATGATCTTTCCTATATATATAATATATGCAAGGTTGGAAAGTGTTAATTCGACTGTTTTCAAATACTAATACCAAGAAAAAATTTCTCCGGTTTGCGTACATTCAATCACTTTCCAACCATGTTATAAACGATTTACGTGGGAATTTGCAAAGGTACAGGGAAAAATATCATACGTGATTGCCTAATAAAATATTTGTTAGTCATTTTTTTGCAATCTAAATTATATCTTAGAGATGGATGAGTGTGCTTCGAAAGCTCACAGATGTCACTCTCAAGCCACGTGCAACAACACCATTGGATCATACACCTGTACTTGTAGTGAAGGATTTACGGGGAATGGGAAAGTTTGCGAAGGTGCCGTAACGATAACATAAGTCAATGTTCATTAAAGATTTTGTTGGTAAATTTTTTGCAATCTATATTATATCTCAGATATGATGAGTGTGATGTGAAAACTCACAGATGTCACTCTCAAGCCTCGTGCAACAATACCTATGGATCATACACCTGTACTTGTAATGAAGGGCTTACTGGAAATGGGAAAGCTTGCGAAGGTGCCGTAACGATAACATAAGTCAATGTTCATTAAAGATTTTGTTGGTAATTTTTTTGCAATCTATATTATATCTCAGATATGAATGAGTGTGATGTGAAAACTTACAGATGTCACTCTCAAGCCTCGTGCAGTAATACCTATGGATCATACACCTGTACTTGTAATGAAGGATTTACTGGAAATGGGAAAGTTTGCAAAGGTTCAGTAACTATAACATAAGTCAATGTTGTATGCAAGAGTTTGTTGGTAATTTTTTTTCAAACTATGTATATTATATCTCAGACATAGATGAGTGTGTGTTTGACCATCTCGGATGTCATTTTCAAGCCACGTGCAAGAATACCAATGGATCGTACACCTGTACTTGTAAAGAGGGATTTTCAGGAAATGGAAGTGTTTGCGAAGGTGAAGAAAATCATACAACCTGCGATATAACATTCATTTTCATTCGAATGGTTGCTGTGGAAAGTACTATTTTCCAATCTGTATTATTTCTTAGATAAGAATGAATGTGAGTTAAACAATCACAATGTCATTCTCAGCCACGTGCAAGAATAACATTGGATCTACACCTGTACTTGTTATGAAGGATTCACAGGAAATGGAATGAGTTGTGAAGGTAACTACAGTTTGAAGTGAAGGTGACGTACATAAATGATAAATTTAGATGTGAATGCGCTTTTTGTCTAGAGAAAAGTTCCATCGAAACAAATCGATTTAGCAGTCTCGCAAAAGAAGTAAGTTAATTGCTACTCTACTTCTAAAATACTAACTACAATTTTACCCACGTATGAATTATAATTCATGTAGTTATACTTTTTCAATTTGTTCATACAATTTTCCGGGAAGGCTGGCCAGTTAATTTAAGTTATTCTTTCCACCATTGTCATTCTATGGTTTTCTCCATTTTTCGTTATATGCTACGACAGATTTTTATTCGAAATACTTTTTCGTCTATAATGCTTAAATTTACTTATACGTTTTCTATACAGGAGCCTTCAACTTGTAACATGGAGAAATTTCGTTTTAAACTAATCGCTATATTTGTATACATTTTTAGGCAAAGCCAATCAGAATGCCTAAATTTTGAATACTTCATATAAAATGGTATATATTGTACTTTCATCAAAATTTTGCATTCTGATTAGGTTGTTGAAAATGTAAACAAACTTGCTGATTGGTCTAAAACGAAATTCATCCTTGTTTCCATTTGTATTAAAAAGATTTGTGCACTCAACTCTTTCTCCAGTTGTGACGCCATTTACTCAGATCTAATTATAAAACAAGTATAAAAAACTCAAGATAAACCACAGTTTTTGGAGTTCCTTTAAAAAAACCTTAAATAAAACATATTTTTTATTGTCAACTTCCTTTAAAAGAGAAATATCACTAACGCATTAGTTTACTATCCTATTTTCAGGTAAATGAACTGCACCGTAAGAATACAACAGTTCAAAAAAAATCGCGCAAGATATCATAGAAGAACTCTCCAATTTAACGGATAGTTCCAACGAAAATGGAGAGAAACAAATTTTGAGTCCTCACATTCTAAATCAGACCGTTGAAATACTTCGGAAAATCATTAATTTGAATATTTCTGATGGCAGTATCAAGATATTGGGTCCTGCAAGTAATATATTGGATGACGTAAATAGGAAATCGTGGAGAAAATTGACGGTGAGTTTTCACGTCACTGCGAATGCGTACCGTTTAATTTTTATTTCTGTCAAAAATTGTTCCAACAAAGAAAATTCCCACTATGGTCTTTATTTGGGAAAAAAGTGCTTTCCCGATAAGACCTAATGATTGGAAATTGGAATTGGAAATCGATTTCACGATGATCATACGCGGGCTCTAATTTACATCCATGGAGGTGCAGAGTCGTTGGCTATTATGGAGTGGGACAGGCACAGATGATTCTTTGGCAACCAGCTGATCCCAAACGAAACTGCGAACTAGATTCACACGTGAAAACGTGTAACTTAATTAGCAACATTTTCATGATCTTTCATGCTCGATCGGACTATATAAGCATGTCTGTATTATGATCTCTATTTTTTGATATTCTGACAATCTTATGATCAAACCGATTCGTTTCTTTCCTCCGTTAGGACGGGAAGTTGATCCGTAATCTGGCGATAATGTTGCAAAAGTATGGACTGCAATATGGAGAGAATTTGAAGAACAACCAATCTATCTCGACTATATTCAACAATCATTCTAACGTACAGATAGGTGTAAAATACCTAAAGGGTCTAGAATTGCCACTTCAGGTTAGAACTTTTGATTTTCCAAATACATCGTTCACTATATCAAACGACGCTCTTCCGAAGAATTCTGGAGCTGTGGTAGTTGTCGTGTGGTATAAGACACTAAATTCACTCCGGAGGGGCAATTATTATGATGGCAATAATCATACAATAAACAGCAAAATCGTCAGTGTCATTGTTCATCCGCCCCCTGAGCCTAGAATACCATTTGAAGAACCTGTTCGCATCACCTGGAACGAAAAAAAACCGGTAATGAAAAAGAAATGTGTAGAGTGATAAGAGAAAATGGGAGGACAATAGAATGGTGTGGGATTGTTTAAAAATTGTAGAATATGTATTGAATTGAATAGTACGATGTAGTATGGAATAATTTCGAATGGTATGCTCAACTGTGTGAAATGTTTGGGTTTGCGTATAGGGTTGAAGGTCAAACAATTCCAAACTATTCCATCGTATTCCATTTCATTCAATTTGAGGGACAATCTCAATCGAGTACTGCTGTAAATGCTATTTTTAATGCCATTTTAATGTCTGAAATAACGGATGCGATTAAATATGATTCGAAAAATTTAAATCCTAGAAAATAAATTTTTTCATCTTAGGACGAGCAAAGTCAATGTGTGTACTGGAAACCAGAATTAACTGTAAATTTGTGGAAGTCAGATGGGTGTAAAAGGAAATACTCAGATTCTAACCGCTTGATTTGTGAATGCGACCATCTCACTGCCTTCGCTACTATGGACATTTCGGGGAAACGCTGGGTAAGATTTGACGCCAGCATATTCAGTACATAGCATTATATATTCAACATAATTTACTGTCTAAAAATGACCCAATGTTTATTTTCCTTAGTTAAGCAAAGCTGAGCAGGGCGCTTTGGAGATAATATCTACAGTTGGTTGTTCGCTATCATTGGCTGGTGTGATATTGACGATATTTGCCCACGTGTTGCAGTGGAAAAAAATCCACAGAAATGTCACAAGCAAAGTTCCTTCTAAAGTTCTCATGAATCTCTGTGTTGCTATCGGAATGACAAATGTATTTGCTATTCTTGCAGGACCCGCACGTAATGAAGAGGTTTGGATACCTTTAACTGCCAACTTTTTCAACACCACACTGTGTCGATAAAATATGTTATTGATTTTTTCTTCTAGACATTCTGCATAGTCACCTCTATTTTATTGTACTTTTCTGTACTCGCGTCATTTGGATGGATGTTATGCGAGGGAGTTGTGATCCACCGGCAACTTGTCAATGTGTATGCAAGTTTGAGCCTGGGGGGAAAGTATATGAAGGCCTTTTACGCCATTGGCTGGGGTGAGTACAACGGCATAGGGCCGGAATTTTTGCGCCAAAATTAATTTGAAAATGATTTGAAGCAGAGCATAAGAGGGTCATAAGAGGCACTAGTAACACGCATTACTTGAATTCAACCAGGTAAAAATATAATCGTAAACCTACACCACGCTTTTCCTATAAGTAATTGATATCAAGTCTGTTATTCGATGATTACTCGGAAGTAGAGTCCCAGATTCTTTCGATAAAATTAATAAGCTTACCAGTTTGGACAACAGTGAAGACTAAACACTGCTGGAAAGCTATCAATTTTTCTATAATCGGGCACTGTTTGTCGCTTTTTTACAACCTCTTCTCGTTGCCTGAATAAGGAGAGGCAAGAATTTGTCTAGAGATGCATGTGTATTTAGCAGTGTTGATTCTTATGTAGGACTTCCAGTGATGATTGTCGCTGTGTTAGTCGGAATAAATCGCCCAGATGATTTTATATCAGAACACTCATGTTGGTGCCGTGCCGGAGGTGCGCTGTTTTGGACTTTTGTCGCTACCATTGGACTAATATTTCTGGTAATAAACTTTGTTCAAACGTTCCTCAAAGAAAAACCTTTTACATAACGAGCATTTTCGCTTTTTGTTGACCTCATTCCCAAACCTTTTGCTAAAGCTTTCACATGAACATGGATCCTGTGTGAAGTATTGTGTGTGTGTTGCGGGGGGGGGGGGGCGGAAGATGCATTGTATTGTCCATATTTCCCTTAGCTAAATAACTCTCGAAACCAGAAAGGAATTAATACGATTCTTCATCTCATCCAGCCGTGTGCTGATAGACAATTTAGCCAATATACATGCTTGAAAACATGCATGAAACTTCGCTTTCATCTTTTTTCAATACGGTAGCACTTCAACGTGGAAGTTAAGCCCGTTCAAACCGGTTCTGCTTGTAACAAAGTTGCCCTATAGTCAAACACGTACTCATTTAAAAGCGTATCAATTATATATACCTGAATGGTGTTAGACGGGCATCGTGTTTTAAAAAGTATAAACGTTCCTGCATAAAAATGTGTACAAACTGTATGTTTGCAATAGAGAAATGCCTTGCACTTTGAATATTTCCATAATGATGTCGATAGATACTTAAACATTAAACTTTTTATATTTTTAGATCAACATTTCTATATTCGTTCTGGCTTTACGAAATACTTTATCGTCCAGGGCAGTAAGCATAAACCACACTGATGCTGATAGCAAGTTAAGGAAAGCAGAAATCGTTCTCAAAGGTTCTGCTGTTCTGCTTCCAATACTTGGTCTAACCTGGGTGTTTGGTTTGCTGGTATTCAATCGAGAAACGATTGTGTTTAAATATTTATTCGCAATATTTAACTCTCTACAAGGACTGATGATATTCGTTTTCCATGTGCTTTTAAATGTAAAGGTACGTTTTTAATTTTACATTTTTCCAAATACTAGTCACTTAATAAGCAGTCAAACGCGGTCTCGCGTACCACAGGTGAAAATCTTTTAAATTTAAGTAACGATAAACATGCCGCATTGGAGAGTTCTTTCAATGAAAAATTCTGCAATTTTTCACAATTTATAGGATATTTTAAAAATTGAGAAAGTACGTTCTAAGACATAACTTTCAAATCTATTTTATTACATGTACCAAATTCTGAATTGTTTATAGTTCCGCAATGCTTTCTCTAAAGAAGATAGGAGTTACACTGAAAGAAGCCACAACTACGCTATGGTCCGAAAAAATAATACCTACAGTAAGTTTAACTCAAAATAGGCCTTTATTAAAGAAAGTTGGGGGTTATAATTGTGCAGAAAGTTAATAAAATAATAATTATCTTCATCAATAGAAAAGACATCCTGTCATAAATAGCTCTGGCGACAAAATAATTATAAACATTGTGTTTTTTTCTCTCAAACAAACTTCGAAGGCTAATTGTTGCTATAGAAACGACGGTATCCCACTCGCTATCCTATATTATTTCATCTCTTGGTAAAGGAGAATAACGACAAATATAGAAAAATTAAATACCTTGTTGAGAAACAAAGCATGCAAGCTCTCGAGATCCTCTCCCCGATAGGGGAGGCATGCCCTTCTTCTAGTCTTCTCCGAGTTTCAATCTTTGCTGTGATAATCATGAATCTTCACATTTCGAATAAAAACATTTATGAGAACTTACATGTATGGTTTTTTAAAACTCTATGGATCCCTAGATTGCGCTCTTTAAAGTTAAATAATCTGTAAGTCTCATCATGACGCTTTTATTATTTTTGTGAATATAGGCAGTCCTAGCAATGGAAACTACTATGGTCCTGCTCCAGGGGTAACTTTGAGCGAAACGTTGAGCCGCTCCTCGCCAATGATGAGCCGAAAAAATAATTCTACAGAGAAGATTGATTCAATGACAGCTTAAAATTCGAAAATAAGAAATGACAATGCTGACTGTACAATACCGAGTAAAAAAGAATCGCCTTTTTGAAGATAATTCTCCCTGCCTGCTGGTCTGACGGTACTGACTGTGTTTAGACATGACATCTTGAAGGCCTGACCATACAGTGTATAGTGTACAGTATTTTATGAGATAGATCTGGCTCAGTTTCGGATCAGACTTTTTGTTTCGCATTAGCTGAATTAAGTATTATTTAAAACATGCGAAGGAGTCTTGTCGTATTTAAAACGCGAGGTCAAAATAAATTACTTCAAAAAAGCCGCGCGCATTGTTGTCGAGAAATAAATTTGCACCATGTATGCAAAAGGTAATTTGGATGAAACCACATTTCATAAAGAATGCTAATGAACGTTACAAATTATATAATGTTGCATCCTAATTAGACAGCATTCATGGTACTTTATATCAGGTATGAAACCACCACATTGACTTGCTTATGAATTTGCACACTAAAATGCATATGAATTATTAATGAGATTTTCTTCGCTAGATGCTAATCATTGGGGTGTTATGCGCGACCATGCATGCCCTTGTTCAGCGTTAAACATCGACTCTGCTTGTGTTGAGTGAATAGGAAAGCCAAAACGTTCACTAGGGGCTCTGCATGTGGAAAAAAAGTTGGGTATTTCAGTTGGGACCATATTATATTACCTCCGCTCACAAAACTTGCTTGCCAAGCCCCAGCTGGTAATGTCAGCATAATTATACTAATCATAGTACATAATCAGGGGGACAGAGCTGTTACCTCTATTGATAATTCATCATTCAAGCCAGGGGGCAGTCGCATCGGACTATGCAGCTATATGCGCAAAGAAAGTATAGTTAAAAGTTAATCCTAGCAATCCCTAGATTCGTAGTGTAAACCCGCCTGTAGTGGTATTAATATTTTGAACAACCTAGAATTAATTGTTTCCCAGTGCGTAGCCCAGCCTGACGATTTAGTCATGCATGCTATGCAAATTTTATGTTACCATCACTATTCATTTTTTTCGACCCCGTTTACACTAGAACGAAAGTTTCCAGATTCATCACGAAAGCGGAATGTTTTAGTACCGGATTCATGTTGCTGTTTACACACGCAGCAACGAATCCGATAGAAAATGTACTCGGTTTAAGCCGTATCCGGAAACTTTGAATCGTAAAAGTTTGTGGAAACTTCGTATCAGAAACATTGAATCCGGAAAATTTCTTGTGTAAACGCTTTGCACGACGAATCCGAAGAAATTCAATATGACGACCAAACAATTCTCTAAGAACAAGTAATGTGAGTGTAAACGGACAAATCCGCATACAGAGTGTAAACGGACAAGTCCGATACATGTGTGTAACAATGAATCCGGAAAATTTTACAAATCTGGACTTTCGTTCTAGTGTAAATAGGGTCTTAGAAATTCATTGTTTTCGCAGTCAAGAACACCAATAGCATGACTAAATTGTCGGTCGGGCTGGCTACGTCACTGTTGTTTCCATCTGTAAATATGCGTTGATATAAATATACCCGTCGATGCAATATTAGACTAGCAAATATTTCCCTCTAAGAAGTCGAGAACGATTCGCGAATCGTCTGACTATTTAGCAGGTCAAGGTCTTGTTCGTTAACGGAATTAACCAGACAAATCACTTCACCAACTAAGAACGGCCATGCATATATTTCTAGACTAGCATATAGACTAGCAAAAATTTATTTAAAGACTGTACTGAAGTGACAGTAATTATCGTAATAATTACAATAACCTTTTAGCACCCAGCAATTTTTCTATCCGTTCGTATTCAGACTGGTTTTTGCAATCAAATTTTCCTGTCTGAGAGGACTTTCCTGTCCCTAATATGAAATTCGGCTATTAACTCGAACAATGTACCCTCTTCGTAACTGTCACTGCCACGGGCAGAAGAATATGGGAAAGATCTCCACTTCTCTCCGCTGGCACTATAGAACAAACCACTCTCGATCTCTCAATTCCTGGGTAATTCAGAGACCTATGTGCTCCAGCTTCTCCCAACCCAGCTCATGTTCTTAACTGGTTCAGTTTTATACAGGAATCCCTGTTATTTTTGTGTCAGTGCTATAGTCGGATATCAGATTTTATGGTGAGTGGTCAGACTGGGCATTTGTCTGTACCATGATCATAATCATAATTGCTGGTTAGGTATATGCATAGAAGATGATTTTTCACGTTGTGTGTTCTTATATATACTTAGAAGCAAATTCACTTTTCTCTTGCGTGCTTTGTGTTTATAACAAACAAACATCAACAGAAATATCTGTAAATTCTTCTGATCAATTAAAAATTATTCATTATAAAGTGAATGTCTTGTACAAAGGGATTTGCTGAACTTTAATGTTTATGTATTACTTATATTCTTCCCATAGCGGATTAAACCGCTTCGTATTAGCGAGAAAAGACATAAACTCTCAAGTACTAGGTCTACTAAGAAAGCACTTCGAGAGCAAGCCCTTGCAGAGCGGTGAATTTTTGGCAATCACTTAGTCAGATATTCATATATTCGTGTTCTGCATTATTAACTCCTTTTGAAATCGATTGTTTTTACGATCTGCGAACACTAATATAATTATGAATATCTGCCCAGCCCCGTTATTAACGATATTCCGGCGCCCCTGTATATATAGCATAAAGCCTGGTTTCTATTTTGTCGTAAATGTCGTGACGTTTGCACAGTCATTTTTTAAGGATAAGAAATAGCCGAGATTTAAATTAGTTTTGTCCTTATCTCTGTATTCAAAACGGCCATTGTTGTCTTACGCTTATGATATAAATGCTATTGTGAAAACCAAGCTTTAGCAATGTAAAGCATGTTAATGGTGATATTGTCTAAGTTCCCTGTGGATTTGAGATAATAACATAAGACGTGACAAAAAAAAGCGAAGGCCTGCATTTACATATAAACAGGCGGATAATTGCGATACATAGACAGTGCAGGTGTACTGAAGCACAACTATCTTTCGTAATGATAATCATTGCGTTGCTCTCTAGCAATAGATTCTGTCGTGTCAAGAACAGAAAGCGTCTTCTTTGTCTTTTTAATGCGTTATATGCTCTGGCCGCGTATATACTTCAAGTAGCCAAAGAAGAGTTTGCTGCAATTGACTGACGAAGCTTGATGGCTGTGAAATACCGTTTTCCGTTTGTTATTTTGATGTTTTTACTTCGTATGGAATCGTGTATTGGCCAAGGTACTTCGTTTAGCAGTTGTTATGTACAAAAGTTATCGTAATACCGTAAGGCATTATAATTGTTGAGTTACTTGAGTCCAACGATTTAATTTTGACTTCGTAAAAGAAGGGGTTAATTGGCATTCTAACAATATCTTTTTACGCCATAATGGCTAGAAATAACCAAACAATCTTGTGTTATGAATTGACGATGAAAACCATATTCTTTTACCGCTGGAAATTGAATAGACAATCTTATAAGGGCTTACACGCGTTAAAGCTCGTAATAAAATCAAATTTGCCTTGTTTTGCCTTGAAAAATATCTGATCGTTTCTTGTGGTAATGAACTGAAGAAACCTGAGTGCTTGCTCTTTCATACCGCAAAATTATATAGATTAAATCATTAAATTCAATATACGCTTCGTAAAGGTCTATTATTCTATTTCGTTTTTTTGAGACACCCTGTATATCTAGAAGAAACTTGTATCACGCAGGGGCCGGTTGTATAAAACTATTAGTATAAAACTATTTAACTACACGTTGCATAGTCAAATCGTAGTTACCTCAGAAATACACAACTGTGATTGGCCAATTCTGTCCTTAACTACACTTAAAAGTAATTAACTAGACTTGTATACAACTGACCCCAGGACCTCAATGAAAAACACTAGTGCAGTACAGGGTGTCTCAAAAAAAACGCAACCACTTAAATATGCGAGAACATTAATGCAGCTCTAAAGCGCAATAGATAAGCACAGTAGCGTAGCCAGCCTGTCGATTTGTCCCGCTATGCTAATATTTTAATATTCACTGACTGTGAAAACAATAGATTTCTAAAGACATGAATAATTATAATAACTCGAAATTTACATAGCGGGATGAAATCGTCAGGCTAGCTGCGCCACTGGATAAGCACCTCTGGGAGTCTAAGTCCTTCATTTAAAATGCCAAAAGTCATTTTACCTGAACTACGGTGCAAACCCGAAGAATATTAGTATTCTCGCATATTTAAGTGGTTGCGTTTTTTTAGACACCCCGCATGTATGTATCCTGCATGGTGTGCCTGTTAGCTTAATGTCAACAGTCCCCACCGCGATTATTAATTAATTATCATCCGTTGATCTCACTCCCACGTTTACTGTACTTTCAAATATACCAGACACAAGTAATGAGTCAGATTAATATAAAGTCATTCGGGAAAGTCATCATTTTCTTATTTAACGCCTAAAAGTGCCGTGATTTTTAACCCTACACTAAACACATAATATGAGATCATTAGGTTAATCTTGGTAATAATTTTACGTCCAGAATCCACAAATATAATCCAGATATTTCTTTTTCCACTTTTAAATATTTTATATAATATAGTTTTTATTTTCCAATAGTATGCCAAGGCAACGAAGTGGAGTCGGACTTTTGCTACGCATATATTCTGCCTTCCAGTGGAGCACTTCGCCTTAGCTGGAACGACGCAGATGCTGAATGCAAAAAAATGGGGGCGCAACTTGTTAGTATTGACGGAACCGAGCTTAACGATCTTCTTAAATCGACATTCAGCAAGTTTGTGAATGATCGCTGGTGGATAGGCATGTCAAAATGCGGTGGGTCGTGGTGTTATCCTAATGGTTACCCAACATCGTACACCAACTGGTACACAGGACAGCCATCAAATAGCAACGGAAATGAAAACTGTGTTGAAATGTGGCCTGATGGAGTGTGGAATGACGCACCTTGTTTTGAAACATATCCTTTCATTTGCGAAAAACGTAAGGCTTATCGGCTTGTATATGAATTTGAATATTTCTTCCCTCTCATCCAAATAGTCTTGCAAAGCAAATCATGCTTCAGCCAGCTGGTTTGAGATTATGACGTCAGAAGACGTGAGACGTCTCGACATAACTGTGTGTCATCACTCGCCTGAAGTCGTTTGTCCCCGTTCTTTCAACTAATAGAATAAAGGGCGAAATCATTAAATTCCATTTTACATTGAGTATAATAAACGAGAAGAAGCCAAAGGATTTAAATTATTTATTTCCATGCAGGCGTTCTTTTGGGTTTCTTCATTAATTAGCGTGCTTATTATTCTAACAGAAGAATAATATTATATAAATCGAAGAATATTTTTTAATGAGTTCAATTACACATTTATTGATTGCAGATGTAATAACGCAAAGAAAGATCATTGCTGAGCTTCAAAGTCTGAAAAAAGAGGTAAGTTTATCGAATTATTGTTGCACGTAAGAAGAGGCACTTATAACATAAATTATTTTGCTAACATTTTGATAAATTTGTTGACGGAAATGGGTGGAAAATTTGTTAAGTTACCAGTATTTTGAAATATTGGAGCGTGCTTTAATGTAAGAGTGCCTGAAAGGTGTTAATTAGGTTAATCGCGAAAACATATCTTATTTTTAAAAAACCTCTGGATTTATGGTGTTTTCTTTAAAAAAGTGAATAGATTATTTGTATTTACCACATGCATACATGTACACACAATTTACGCTTATCATTTGATAATTTATACTTTTTTAGGCGGATGACCTTTATAGTAAGAATATATCAGACGAAGTACGGAGAGAACGTGCACAAGAGATTATAAAGGAACTGACAGAGTTTACAGATCTTGATAAAGTGGCGGGAGGAGAAAATGGCGCTGACAAACAAATTCTTAGCGACACAGTTGAAATACTTCAAAAGATCGTAAACTTAAATATTTCTGATGGCAGCCTTAAAGTATTAGATCCTGCCAACAATATACTAGATGAGAGAAATAACGAATCATGGAGAAATATTTCAGTGAGTTTGGTGATTAAACTGCAATAACATTTTGCTTTCAAGTACAAAACGTGAAATATTTGACGTGTTTTGTTTACTTTTTAAATATTATTTAAATAAGATTTTCCTATTATTTGTCCACCTAAAATATGGTTCTCGCATTGAAGAATAGTATGTCCAGGGCCTTAAGAACTGTACTATAAATTATGACATAAGATTTTTTTAGTCAATTGTCGATTGATTTCAGATTTACTCAAGCAGTCTTTATCAGCCCATTTCCTTCTTAACCGGCACTATTCTTATTCTAGGAAATAAATGTCATTCCAGATTTGGTAACAACGTTAGAAAATTACGGACTCCAATATGGAGAGGAGATAAAAAACAACACGAATGGTTTCATCAGTCAAAACAGTTCAAACGTACAGTTACGAGTCAGATACATTGAAAACACAGGGAATTTTACGCTTGTGGACAGACGTACAAATTTCCCCAATGCATCCTTCATCATCTCGTCTGATGCAATCCCTGAGGAGTCTGGAAGTCTTGCTGTTGTCGTCTGGTACAAGACATTAAATTCCTTTCTTGGAGAGAAATTTCACACCAGCGATGATTATGTGAAAGTAAACAGTAAGATAATTACTGCAAGTGTTCGACCTCAGTCAAAGATACTGCAATTTACACAGCCTGTGCAGATCATCTGGGACACAAATGGAAAGGTAGTTATGCCTTTTTTAAATACAAATAGTCGTCAAAATCTGGTTGAGCCCCTTGGAGACTAAATATTCGTGTAATTAAATGCTAACATCTTCAAATTCTTGTTTTTGGACTGTTGACAGTCGCTTCGCGTGATCCTTTTGAAACTTTGACATTGTTTTGTTCGGTTTCAAAATTTTAGCTAGTATAAGGTCATAATAATTATAAAAGTCATGATATTATTTTACCTTATTGGTGGAGTAGCTTAATTCTTTCGTTTCACAAGCCAAAACAACTCGAACGATTTCGCAGTTTAGAAACTTCGATATGAATTGCATGTAATTCAAACTAAAGCATGTTAATTGCATCTACATTTAATTTCGAACCTGTTAAAATTGTATTCCAACTCATATGGCGAGGAAACGAATGATGAAAGCAATAAGCTATATTCATAGTATTCAACCATTCAACTATTCAACTATTCGCACTACTGTAAATTAACCGAATATACTATGCAATAGCCCCATAGCTTTATTAGGAAATAACTTTTGACCATTTAACTAATGTAAAAATATTTTTGAGAAATGAATAACCATCAGCGTTATTAAGGTATTTTGAATTGGTAATTATAGGCTGTGTAATTATTTAGACTTGCACTAAATCCTTTTAGAATGACGATGGACAATGCGCATACTGGATACCAGAGTCAGGTGAAAATAGGTGGAAGACAGATGGTTGTATTAGAGTCGAAGATCAGTCAGGCAGAAATCGCTCGATATGTGAATGCAACCACCTCACAGCATTTGCTACAATCGATATTTCAAGAAATCTGGTAAGACTCAATGAATTTACGAAGGTTCTTCTTATTTTGATTATGGAAACGCTTTTCAACATACTCTTTTTCGAAAATTTTGACCCAGTTGTCACTTCGTCGGAGAATTTGCCTTTCGATTCCAATTTTATTGCGTTATGATATTTTTTAAGTTAAGTAAAGGTGAAAGAAAAGCTTTGGAGGTGATATCCACCATTGGCTGTTCTCTGTCGCTGATTGGTGTATTTCTAACGATTGCAACATACGCATTACTCTGGAAAAGTCTTCATAAGAATGTCAAGACCAATATTCCATCCCAAGTCCTCTTAAACCTCTGTGTTGCCATTGGAATGACGGATATATTTGCTATCATAGCTGGACCTGCACAAAAACACGAGGTTCCTATACGTTTTACGCTATATCCAGGTGATCTGAATCGGAAATTTAGCCAATCAGAGCAAGATCAAACCGATCTGCTTCGTGCGCTTTAAAAACAAGCAGCGAGGGGCAAAAATATAGCTGAGGATTATTGTTGCCTGAGGAATTTCGCTGTGAAAATTTAAAAAACAAAACGCGCTCACTGATCTCTGGTATGGTTCTATTTGCTTGCAAATTAATGCTTTGCGAACTTGGCGCGAGAGCACCTGGATTATTAACGGCATACATTTGAAGAGACATTCATATTTGGAAAATTTAGATATATTCAAGACTGCATCACAGAGAAACTTGCTCTAATCCACTCTAAGAAACCGTTGTTTAGCTACATAAGGCATAACTATTGCAGTTTTCCTTGTTTTATTTTTTAGACCACTTGTATAGTTATCTCCATACTACTTTACTTCTCTATCCTTGCTATATTTGGCTGGATGTTTTGTGAGGGAATCATAATTTATCTTCAACTGGTGAATGTTTATTCGGGTTTGGCTTTGGGAGGTAAACACCTGAAAGCATTTTACGTTATTGGTTGGGGTAAGTATTGTTTAATTTTTATTATTGTCTTAATATTATAATGAAGATGAAACTATTGTGAAGCAGTGTAATCTTTTTAAAACTTTGCATGTTCACTTTTCCCAAAACCAAACATTCATTAAAAAAACATGCAGTGAATTTGTGTAAAAGTTGGAGATCTGCACTTGCAGCCGGTGTTTCAAGTTAGTAATCAGGAATGGAAAAAACGATGATTCAAAGACTCAATTTGGTTCAATCAATTTTTTATATAGGAATCCCAGTTGTTCTTGTGCCAGTTTTAGTCGGTGCAAATGATCGAAAAGATTTCATAACGGATCATGCCTGCTGGTGCCGTGGTGATGGTGCGTTGTTCTGGATATTTGTTTGTACTATCGTAATAATTTTGCTGGTAAGTGTGCATATAGTGTGCGCACTGGACAATTCTTCACATTTCCGCACCCCTGTTTCTAAATGCTTTCTCTGTAGTCTTATCGTATTCGTATGTATGAATTTTCACCAGATCAACTTGGTAATCTTTGTTCTGGCGTTAAGAAATGCTTTATCCTCCAGCCACGTGGGCACAACTCGTTCAGAAACTGACACAAAGCTAAGAAAAGCAAAAATTGGTGTCAAAGGTTCCGCTGTTCTGCTTCCAATACTTGGACTAACCTGGGTGTTTGGTTTGCTTGTGTTCAATCGTGATGCGATTGCCTTTAAATATCTTTTCGCGATATTTAACTCTCTCCAAGGACTAATGATATTCGTTTTTCATGTGCTGATAAATAAAAAGGTAGTTTGTGCATGTGTTGCAAACGGAAAAATTTTCTTTCGAATTCCTCAAATAATTTCATTTATTGATTAGTAACTCAGTTAACAGTAACTTAACAGCAATGATCACACCATTTACAGTACTTTAGTCATTAATACTCAAATTTTAACCAGTAGAGTTAACAAGTTAGAGTAGCAACATACAGTTTCATCTCTTTTGCACTTTCTTTTATACCCTTTCTCATATTGGATTCTCTTTTACTTTCCTAATTTCACCTAGGCTAACATTTCGTACAAAAAAACGCTGTTTAATATTCTTCCAGGTTTACGGAGCAATTAGCAGCGTAAAGAAAGCTCGAGATGCAAAGAAAATGAACAACGTAAATGCCAGTAGCAGTGCAGGTTAGTGATATAAACTGGCGGACATTAGCTTTCGTTTAATATTTACATATTCGCGAAATACTAGTGAGTTCTCAGTACCATACAGATTATAGATAAAGATCGAAGATGTAGAAGTTTACTTACCAAAAACCATCCACTACGGTCTGTTTCACGAAAAAGAAATGAAAAGTATGAAAAAAAAGAGTTGGGTTGATATGGAAAGGATGAGTTAATATTTATGATTATGCATAAAAAATTTACTGCTTCCTTATTTTTTGTACAGATTCTACTTTTTCAACAAGTGCAACTAGTCCAACAAAATCCAAAATTCCAATGGCATCAGTAATCTCGGCAAAAGTTTTCTACAGCAAATCAGCAGAGGAAAAAGACAGAAAACAAGGAAAAACAACATAACAGGTTTTGATTTTTGACATGCGACGACTCAAGCGTACACTATTCATATATTGAGACTATACGTATTTTGAACTTGCATGAAATTCGTACTTTTTATGTATCCATATATTCGTCCTATACTCATCTGATATTGTTCATATAATACGTATGTAAACATGAATATATGATTATACACCTCCCCCCTTGCATTAAGCCATCTAGCTAAGGCCCAACCTCGTACCAAGGAACCAGAAACGAATTTGGGATGGTGCTCAAATTCGTCCAGTTTCCTTGTTTTAATGCAAAAAACAGGTCATATTTTTCATCCTTTCGCCAAGTTCGTCCGGTCTCGTGCATGTAACGTTGCCGAAAGACGGTGTTATACGCTATGAAACTTTCCTTGCAACTTGCAATGCAATTCTACTGCTCAGTGAGAGAAACAATTAAGTTCAAGCCGTTTACACGTGTTTCCAACTATATGGAAACTGCCGGGCAATTTTTTTAGTTTTACGAGCAGTCGAGCCTGCATTTTTAATAAACTATATATAGCTACAATAAAACCCGCCCGATTTCCTGGAATATATACAGGTATTCGCTCAATTCCCCGCTGCACAATTCCTTTTCAATTTTTCCTTGACGGCCGTAGACATGAATAATTTTCCTTGTTTCAAAGTTAGCATGACTAGCTTTTGAACAAGACATCTTGTCAAGGAAAATTCGCCAATTTTTTCTCGTGGACGCGAGCAATCAAAAAGTGTCAAGGAAAACATGTGGAAGAAAACTTTCTTGACTGTAGGCCGGGGTTTTAAAGCCATTTATTTATACAAGGAAAAAGAAGTGGCGACCTTTTTCCCTCGTATACAATTAGCCCTATATTTAAAAAGCGTGTCGTTGTGAAATAGTTATAAACACCTAAGAAAGGTGTCTAGCTGACTAGCTTCGTTAAGACCGACCTTTGAAAGCTTAGAAAATCCGAAAATGAAATTATTAAATTATAAACGTGGTTCTAAGCAAGGCTGCGTCAGCTACTTTAGTAACTAGCCTGTTTTATTATTGAATAATATAATTGTTTTATAATTTAGGGCCTGTTTATATGATCCCGTCTAGCCGGGACGGGGCAGTTTCCGAGATCCCGCTTGTAATATCAACACTAATTAGTGTTTATATGACCACTTTTCCATCCCGCGTAGGCGGGATCCCGCAAGAAGTGCCGGGATTTCGCTTAGACGGGATGGAAAATTGCCATATAAACACTCCATCCCGCTTGGCCGGGATGATTCGCGATAAACATACATTTGGAGCATGTGTATATATTGGCATTTTCGTTTTCTACAGTAAAACATGCCGTTAACACAAACAAAACGTTAACACAAACGTTACTGCAACGTCAGAATAATTATAACGATCAGATAAACGTGATTGCCAGGATGAATCCAAGGTTCAACCAACGTTGATACAACGTCGTCTAAAATGAATTAGGACAAACAACGTTGTGAGAACGTTGTATTACGGTTTAGTCACGACTTAACCACCAAAATATAACCTTTGGCAAACGTTGAGATAACGTTGTGTGTTAGCTGGGAGTTATGCTGTATACTATTAGATCGTTGAATTGGTTGATTATGCATGGTCATGTGATATACAGGGTGTCCCAAAAAAACCGAAAACTATTGAAATCACCCATAACAATGCAATTGTTAGAGTTTGAATGCCTAAGCACTCTGTTGGGACCCATAAGTGTATAAATGTTTGCCATGTATACTCATTTTTATGCATGCATATGATGCAGTAAAATTTGCTTGTTCGCAAAATGATATTTATTAACAATATTTACAACTTACAAATATGGATAACATTATTTAAATGTGGATCTCAATCACCATGACCTTCGACAAGTCCCCTTTCTCTAGCAACACAAAGCATTTAGCACTTTATAAGTTGCATTAAATCCCTACGGGCTGTAATTCGTGAACACGGCATTCAAATTTTAACAATGAGTGATTTCAATAGTTTTCTTTTTTTGGGACACCCTGTAGTGTGTTCTATTGCTGTCTCCAGAGTGCAATTGTGCATTGCACTCTTAATGGTTTAAGCGAAGCGCATCCGTCAAAATGCTTCTCGCAACCGTGGACCGTGAAAATATTCCTACCACTGCACTAATAAACATTCGTTATTTGTACAGGGTGAGTAAAAAAAACTGAAATTCAAATTAGCTGCAATGTGTCTGCATGTAATCGGCTGTAATGAGACAGAAGTTGCCTAAAATATCTTATGGGTATACGAAGCATATCAAACAAGTGAACCCATTAATTAACCTTGAACATAAAGTTTGTTCCCTTTGGGAGTTAAAATGCATTCTAAGCTCTGTGATAAAAAAGAACGTGGAATTAGTTCAATTGGTTTAAACACTTTCGCATTAATTAACCATGTCTTGTTGATTGTACACAATGGGAAATGTCAAATTCCAGCCATAAGTTCGCGGCTAACTTGAATCTCAAAGGTGTCAGTTTTTATTGACTCACACTGTACAGTATTGCATTCAATGACAATAGCGGAGACGTGACGACAAATTAATGAACGTGTTGCATACATGAATATTCGCTTTCTGTTTCATTACAATAATTTATTCTATATATAAGCAGGATTGGCTGCAATATATACAGAATTTTGCATATCAGAGTCCGAAAACCGTACACGTCCTTTGAAACGAAGACTGCTTTCCTGGAATCGATATTATTCAGTACTTCGCGAGAAAAGAACCGAGACATTGTTTTCTTTGTGATTTACAATACCTTCTTCTTCGACTCTCAAGCAGCCTGTGCATAGTCAATAGAAGCAAAGTAAGGACGTTTAGCACACAATAGATGAATAATGGTAGTTAAACACCGTTTTCTGCTAGTGTTCGTGATATTTTTAGTTCGTTTCAACTCGTTCATCTGCCAAGGTAAGACTTTGATTTACAGTTGTTGTGTGACAAAGCTTCGTAACTGTAAATATTCGCTATATTTGATATAATTTTTTCGCATGGCTAAATCGCATGTATATATCTCAAGCCGTATCGATCTAGCTGCCACCATATCATTGTTGTTCTTCAATTATTAATCACGATTGCATGTTTGTAAGTATCGTTGGTGTTCCGTTCCTGCGATATGGCTTGGCACACGGCTGAACTGAATAACTGCGGAACAGCATGACTGATTTCTATAATCTTGATACTAAGATACTAAGCAGTCTAAAGCATGAATAATTATTTTTTTTGGGAATATATTTCATATATTTTGGGAGAATTGTATAGCTTACCACCACGAGACCTCTGTTTGGTTGGAAGCCATCTGATAGTGTAGAAGGCTGTGTAATATCAGTAATATTATTCCTAGGAACATTAGAAAGCGATAACTTGGTGAAGTATTACTGAACAAATGTCGGTTAAGTTGGGATAATTTTTTTAGTACTGTTCTGAATATCACGATCAGTTAGACTACGTTTACACTACTCCGGATCGGTCTGAAAACGGTGCAAAAAAGTATCAAAACGGGGTTGTGTTTACACTGCACCGGAGCGGATTTGTTCGAAAACGTCACGTTTGCCGTAGCGACACGACCACACTTTCTAAACGTGGTCGAACGAAAACGGAGCGCTACACGGCTTTGTGTAAACACTACACCGTTAATATTTCGCCACACTTTTGATACCATTCCGCCACAATGCCTGGCGCGTTGTTGCCGCAATTCAATATAGCGAACAATTCTCGAACAATTTATCAACAAGCACCTTTCTCGCTATCGGCGGTATTGTTTTCATTGTTTTTGCGACCCACGACTACAGATATAAACGTCAAGAAATGTTTCAGAAAGAAATGGCGCAATTTCCCGCGAAGAATTTACGATTGTTCATTGTTGACAGCGAAGAACGCTTGTGTGTAAACGCTTACGAGACAGTATCGGAATTCAAACGGAGCAGTGTAAACGCAGTCAAATTCTGCCGTCACTTTCTCGCTCCGGAGCTGTGTAAACTGTAGTCTTAGAAAGTGTGGTCGTGTCGCTACGGCAAAGGTGACTTTTTGGAAAAAAACCCGCCCCGGTGCAGTTTAAACGCAACCCCGTTTTTTGCACCGTTTTCAGACCGATCCGGAGTAGTGTAAACGTAGTCTTAATATGACATAATAGTAACTCACATGTCGTCATTGATTGTCAATTTTTCGTAATTCGGTTTTCATATATCGGATTTCGCACAGCACCGAGTTACAACGAATTACGACTTGTGAATAACGGCAAATTATGTCATATAAAAACCAGCCATATTTAGCAACATTATCTCGGCATGCATACATCTAATATGTAAAACTTCACGACCACTCAACGACCACCCACGAAGCTGAGATTTTTTTCAAATACGTACCGTGTACAGAAGACTATGCCCTTGACTGCGACATGAAAGACGAACAGTACTCATTTTATAAAAATATTGCTGTTTCGGATCCTGTCATGCAAATTTGGGGAATTCATATACTTTGGGGGAATTGTTTAGCTTACCACCACGAGTCCTCTGTTCTGTTGGAAGCCATCTGATAGTGTAGAAGGCTGTGTATTAGTAATATTGGTCTCATGAATTCATGAAAGAAGCTCGATCAGTTATTTGCTCAATCCCTTTTCTCAAAAATTACCTCACACATCTCTCTTTCATAAAATTTTCTCTCCAAGAAATTTGATTGCTGAAATTTCACATGTCCAGCGATAAGGAATAAGCAATTCTACTAAATTATATTTTGATTAAAGTTCCAATATTATTGCGTAAGCTGTTCCTTTCTATAGTGTGCCCGGGTGACAAGGAAGAATCTGACTTTTGCTACACGTACATTTCGTATCCCAAAACTCAGTTGGACTGGAACGATGCAGATGCTGAATGCAAAAAAATGGGCGCGCAACTTGTCAGTATTGATGGAGATGAACTTAACGGTTTTATCAATTTAACATTCAGAGAGTCTCCAAATGCTAAATTGTGGATTGGTTTGAAGAGATGTAATATGTTGTGGTGTTATTTGAATAATTACAACGCAACTTATAGCAATTGGCAGAAAGACGAACCAAATAATTTGGGAGGAAGGGAAGACTGTGTTGAAATGCGCAAAGATGGAAGGTGGAATGATGTACCATGTTCTCATAAGAAATCCTTTGTATGTGAAAAACGTAAGATGCATTGATAGGAGTTAATTTTGAAGGCACTTTGAAATTTTCTTTAAACTTAACCTTAACTAATTGTCAACTTCCGCACAAACAATAGTTTTGTACAATTATTCTTAGTCAATTTGTGCATTTAATTCGATATTTCAATTCAAGTATAACATAAAATGAAGGATCTCTCGAAATATGTGGAAACTAAAAAAATCATTTCCACCGCCTAACAAGTGCATACAGCTATCGACGACAATAGCAAATGCTCAGTTAAACATATAACTATTTAGATATGATAACGCAATCAAAAATAATCGCTAAGATTGGGAAACTAAACAATAAGGTAAGATGTATTTTTCATAATTATAAATCAGTTAAACGTAGTAGGGGAAGCTAATTTAGACATATACTTCATTTTTTAATACAGACTTCTGTGATTTTATGGCAAATGCATACTGCAGTTTCGGTTTTACTTTTAGTCTCGTTTTTGTTCAGTCTTTCAATTTTTCGAATAAGTCTTTTAGATCACAATACAAACTAATGAAACTACACCGTCTTCACTGGCGACCCTCGTCATCTTGGCAAATACAAGGATCCAAGTTGGCTGACAGATTACTGAATTATATTTGTCGCTATTTTTCAGGCTAAGTCAATCAGAATGGTTAAGTGTTAAATACGTCCTGTAAAATGTTAAATAAGGTACCTTTTACGGGAAGTAGTAAATATTTAAGCATTTTGACTGTTTCCTAAAAATATAAACAAATTTGCTAATTGGTCTTAAAAGAATATCCCCTGGGTTTCCGATAGAAATAAATATTGTAGTCGAATTCTGTCATCTGCTCTTTTTCACGGTTCGGCCCGTGTTCCCTCTACTCATTTCCAATACTTCGATCGACCCTGCACTAAACTATGGAGGAAATCAGTGGAACGCAAGAACTATTACTGTTTTAAACAAGTTAAGCGTACTGTAAAATCCTCTAAAATCCCACTTTTTCTAAACTGGGTAATTCAATTTTTTAGGTTGACGAACTTTATAGTGAGGAAGTATCAGATGAAGTACGAAAAGAACGTGCACATGAGATTATAAACGAACTGACAGAGTTCACAGATCTTGATAAAGTGGCGGTAGGAGAGAATGGCGCTGATACAAAAATTCTTAGTTACACAGTTGATATACTTCGAAAAATCGTAAACTTAAATATTTCTGATGGCAGCCTTAAAATATTAGAGCCTGCCAGCAATATATTGGATGAGAGAAATGATAAATCATGGAAAAATATTTCGGTGAGTTTGCTGTTGAAAGAGATCAACAGACTAACAAAAATACTTTATTATCGAGCAATAACAGTTTGAGAACTTGTGTTTTCGGTGTTTTCAAAGTTCTCGCAGCATCTGTATGCAAAGGTCATGCACGCTATCCTGGTTATTCTAACTGTCGATTGATTTTAGAGTTAATTGAGTCGTCGTTATTACCTGGTAGATTTTCCTCTCAACCGTAAATATCCTTATTCTAGGAAAGAAATGTAATTCCAGATCTGGTAACAACGTTGGAAAATTACGGACACCAATATGGAAGGGGAATAAGAAACAAAACGAATGGTTCCATAAGTCAAAACAGTTCAAACGTACAGTTACGAGTCAGATACATGGAAAACACAGGGAATTTTACGCTTGTGGACAGACGTTCAAATTTCCCGAATGCATCCTTCATCATCTCGTCTGATGCAATCCCTGAGAAGTCTGGAAGTCTTGCTGTTGTCGTCTGGTACAAGACATTAAATTCCTTTCTTGGAGAGAAATTTCACACCAGCGATGATTATGTGAAAGTAAACAATAAGATAATTACTGCAAGTGTTCGACCTCAGTCAAAGATACTGCAATTTACACAGCCTGTGCAGATCATTTGGGACGGAAATGGAAAGGTAAAAAAATATTTTTCTAAAGTTAGATGGTCGCTAAAATCCCTGCGAAAAAAACTCGGTTTGATATTTCACAGTACAGACCGAACAGTCGGCTGGTCAACAATTAACCGGTTTATTATATGGCTGAACTGCTTGACACATTTGGGACTCTGGTCCAGATACGGAATATACGGACCACAGTGCGAATATGGGTTTTGCGGAACGCTCGTCAACCAATGAGGATGGAGGATTTCGAAAAGCCATATAAAAATCAACCATACTTACGCCAATATTCACGCCCATAAATTTGTCATTTCATGGCAATTGTCATTCCTGGTAATTAACCAGATATATGACGTAATAAGATCACGGGAAATAAACTTTTCGATGGCATCCTGATTTTAACTTTTAGAATAACGATGAAAAATGCGCATACTGGATACCAGAGTCGGGTGAAAATAGGTGGAAGACAGATGGTTGTATCAAAGTCGAAGACCAGTCAGGCAGAAATCGCTTGATATGTGAGTGCAACCACCTCACAGCATTTGCTACAATCGGCATTTCAAGAAATTTGGTAAGGTTCAAATAAATATAGAGATTGTTAACTCGAAATCCCCCTCCCCTAATGATTTATAGATTCGGCTCACGAATTTGACCAGATGCAACGGTGAACAATTTTCTCCTACAGATAAAAATTGAAAATAACATTCAAACAGGATCTTCCCAGACTTTGCACTCCACTCATGACCATTAAAATTGCGTATTTGTTTCCGTATATTTATCATGTAAATCTATTTGTTTAAGCTAAGCAAAGCTGAGAGAAAGGCTTTGGAGGTAATATCTACCATAGGCTGTTCAATATCGTTGGTTGGAGTGTTGCTAACCATAGCAACATACGCTTTACTCTGGAAGAGTCTGCATAAGAATGTCAACACAAATATTCCATCCCAGGTCCTCTTAAACCTCTGCGTTGCGATTGGAATGACGGATATATTTGCTATCATTGCTGGACCAGCGCAGAAAAATGAGGTTCTTTTAATTCTAAATATTTTTTTTCATTTGGCCTGTTTGCATACGCAATGTAAAGTATCATGCACCAATCCTGGTTTTTTTTTCGCTTTTAGACATTTTGCATAGTTATCTCCATACTACTTTATTTCTTCATACTCACTATTTTTGGCTGGATGTTTTGCGAAGGAATCGTCATTTATTTGCAACTCGTAAACGTGTATTCAGGCTTGGCTTTGGGAGGTAAACACCTGAAAGCCTTCTACGTGATTGGTTGGGGTAAGCTGTAGTTTCCAATTTTTTAAAAAATCCTATTCTTTTGTAGAAGTATTTTATTCAATTTTATCTCTCATTACCTCGGTCAAAGGTGTCGGAAAGTCTATAGGTGGGCGGTAATTTGACACGACATTAGTTTTGACCAATCGCCTTTACAAATGACTTGCAGTTTCAAAATGACGGGTGTATCGGCGTCCCCCTAATTTATTTCAAAGTGTTACCTAGTCATCTGATCGCGAATTAGAATTTTCGTCTTATATAGTCGATATAGTCTAACAAAACTGTTTTGCTCAATACTTTTGCTCAATAATGCCATTAGTTATTCTTGTATAGGAGTTCCGGTTGTCCTTGTCCCTATATTAGTCGGTGCAAATGATCGAAAAGATTTTATAACCGATCGTGCCTGCTGGTGCCGTGGTGATGGTGCGTTGTTTTGGACATTTGTCTGTACAATAATCCTGGTCTTACTGGTGAGTGTAAGAGGCAATTCTCCACACAGTATATTCCTGATAAAAGACGATTAAAAGAAAATCATCGTTTAGGATTACTCGCAAGATATCCTTTGATAGTTTTTTTTCTCTAGATCAACTTTGTTATTTTCATTCTGGCGTTAAGAAGTGCTTTATCCTCCAGCCAAATAAGAACCGCTCATTCAGAAGCTGACACAAAGCTGAGAAAAGCAAAAATTGGCGTCAAAGGTTCAGCCATCCTTCTTCCAATACTTGGACTAACCTGGGTGTTTGCTTTGTTGGTGTTCAATCGTGATGCAATTTTCTTTAAATATCTTTTCGCGATATTTAACTCTCTCCAAGGCCTAATGATATTCGTTTTTCACGTGCTGATAAATAAAAAGGTATGGCTTGAATTATCACCATACAGTCACATTTTACACAAGGTTTGAACCTTAAAGTTTTATATACTCAGAACTCAAATCAATGATAAATTAGTAGCAGGCTTTTTGTATTTGATACCACTGTGATAAATAACATTCCTTGGTAACTGCATTCACCTTATATAGACTGAACTGTATTCAGGCATTTGAATTTGAATTTTTGTGCGTCCCCATAGGACCCGTAAAAAATCTTGTGAGTTGGATTTTCTGAAACCACTTTTTCAACTTGCAAAAACTAAGAATAATTAATGCCTTTTTCGCATGAAGAAATTACTTGCTACTTTTTTTCAGGTTCATGACGCAATCAGCAGTGTAAAGAAATCACGTGATGCCAGAAATGCCAAAGTCGGTAAGTAATAAAACGACTCATTAAAATAAATTTTTAAGCAGATTAAGAAGAAAGATATTGGGATAAAAGAAAAAATCTGAAATACCAAGAGAAGAATGAGTAGCAATAGTTAAGCTTTTTCGGCAATAAAACAGTTTTTAGTTTAACGTGGCCCTTTTTCCGAGTGCAGGATCTGATAGGATACTTTAGGATGGAACTACTTCGTGTTTTAATGAAACGCGTTTTATTTAAACTCTTATTCATATAATAGCTGAATAGCAACTTTTAATAAAATTAATAGCAACTAGATATTTAGATTTTAAATTGTGTTTGAATGAGTATATTAATGAATGAACAGATGCTTCGGTATTGATTCCGTCATTTCTTTCTAATTACTTTGTGTAGCTTTAACTGTTGCAACAACTGTAACCAGCTCTACCAAATCAAAAATTCCAACAGTTTCTGTTTTCGTGGAACAGGACAACAAATCACTGAATGGCGAAAAGTTCATTCTCACTCCTTTAAGATCTTAGTGAGTGGAAACAATTTATTACTCGATGCACATTTTATATAGTTATGTTGACGTTTTAATATGTATGTTTCATATAACCTAATTCGCACCCTGCGCGCACAGGAAGGTCTAAATAGCGACAAACACAAACGATTATTGATCATCATGAATATTCAGTGTAGTGTTTTTTATGCAACCTATAGAGTAAAAAGATTTTTTGTAAGTAAAACTAAACGTTAGTTTTACAATTTAACCAGTTATAACAAATCCTATTTGAATGTTTACATTTGTCGATCGGCCAGGCTACCTGTGTAAAAATTGTTTTTCAAAGTGGTTTAACAAACTTTATAATTATAGGCAATGAGCAGTATATAAATCAAAGTTACAGCCTAGGCGATAATAATTTCTCGCAACAATGAAACATTTAGCCTTAATATTGGGTCACTGCATTCCCAATCATGCAATGGTGTATAAAAAGAGAAGAAAATAATAATATTGTGAGTGAATTTCCGAAAGACCTTTTCGCCTTCTCGAGTCATTTACATTAAGATAGGTTAGTTACGTTTATGCATGAGTGTCAAGTTTATTGTATAACTAAAAAAAAGTTAATAATTTTATACAGTGGAATGAAACGTGACACGTTTTAAAAGTAAACCTGAAAAGCTGCGTTGTATTTTAAAGTACAGCTGTACACAACTCTCGGTCTCTCAGAAGAACAATTAAGTAATTTTCGAACCAATAACCGCCGGTTTTCCTGCAACACATGCAATTATGTCGAGTCCTTTGTGGTTTTAATGCGTTTAAGATTTTATTGCATAGAAATCCATTGGTCTACGAAGAAGCTGTACAAGCAAACCCTGTCACAAAGCAAAAAAAATGCGTTTGGAAAGATGCGTCTGCCAAGGTAGGATTTCAGTCAGCTGTTAAAATAAACAAATATGTTTGATATAGTACGCGCTAGATTTGACATAAGCATGGTAATAAAGATGCAAAACATTATAACGTTTTTCTTCATTTCGAAACTAGTACGAACTATATCTTGAAGTTAAGAGATGTTTATAGAGACATAGAAAGCAAAATATTGTTAGCTGGTTGTTCAAAATAAATGTCGTGTGGACATAATAAATGTTGTGTTGCGCCATTTGTAAACATACCCGCTGAGAATTTGCTTTTATCCGTTAAATTATACCCAAATCTGGACCCTAAAGATGAAACTAAACACGAATTTAGTTTTTTTTAGTTTCTTTAGCCACATAGTTTGAAAGATTATGTAATAACGATGAAAGCCGATGCATGTTTTTTAACAGATCACGTAGTTTGCTCCCCTCCCTCTCAATGGCGGAAAAAAGCTTTCAATAATTAAACGGGCGTCGCGAACAAAATGTTTACATTTTAAGCATCAACGCCGAGACACACCGTCGCCAACGCGAGCGCCTTTGTTTTAAGCAAAGTAGGGAAGTTTTTCACACAATAGATGAAAAATGGGAGTTGAACACCGATTTCTGCTAGTTTTTATGATATTTCTAGTTCGTTTCAACTCATTTATCTGCCAAGGTAAGACTGATTGACAGTTGTTGTGGGGCAAAGCCTCATTGCTAGCTGTCAATATCCGCCACATTTGATATAAATTATTCGCGTAACTAAATCGCATGTATATCTCATTTGTTATGTAATTATTTTTATACGCTCTTAAGCCGTATCGATCTAGCTGCAACTATTTCAGTGCTGCAACTATTTCAGTTTGTAAGTATATCGTTGGTGTCCCGTTCCTGTCATATGTCTTGATACACGGGTCAATAGAGAACTGCATGACACTTTCGATTTCTATGATCTTGATGCTAAGCATGAATAATTTTTTGACACTAAAAAACGATAACTTGGTCAAATATTAAACAAATACCATTGTAATTCACATGTCGTCATTCGTTTTCTATTTGTTGTAATTCGGTTTTCATACAACACCGAATTACAACGAATTACGACATCTGAAAAACGGCAATATGTGATATAAAAACCAGCCATATTTAGCAACATGATTCGCTCAGCATGTGCATATAAGGAGTGTCTGCGAATATTCATGCAAATTTCACAACCACTCAACGACCACCCACGGAGCGGAGATGTTTTCAAACACGTACTGTGTACAGACTACCTTTGACTGCAGCGGAAAAGACGAACAGTATTAATTTGCTAAAAATATTACTGCTTCTAATCCCGCGATATTTTATTGTTTGCAACATTTCATATATTTTTCGCGAATTGCATAGCTTACAACGAGACCTCTTGGGTATTTGCGTCAGTAAACACTTCAAACAGACTAATTCGAGCACGGTGCCAAGTTCGTCCTGTCTCGTGTGAACGTAGCCGAAATACGGTGTTACGCTATGAAACTTTCCTTGCAACTTGCAATGCAATTCTACCCCTGAGTGAGAGAAACACAACACGTCATCGTAAACACATAGAAAAGACGTGCACGTGAATGGCTTGACGTGCAAGCCATTTATTTATATACGAGGAAAAATAAGTCGTGACCTTTTCCCCTCGTATATACTTTTATAGGGCTCATTATTCAAAAATGTATGAAATGCTATTGCTATATTTAAAAAGCGTGTCGTTGTGAAATAGTTATAAACACCTAAGAAAGGTGCTAGCTGACTAGCGTCGTTAAGACCAACCTTTGAAAGCCTGAAAAATCGGAAAACGAAGTTGTTAAACTATAAACGTGTTTCGAAACAAGGCTGCGTCAGCGACTTTAGTAACTAGCCTGTTCTATTATTGAATGATGTAAATTTTTCTATAATTAATTAGGTAATAATACAATAATACGATGCAATACACTTATAATTGACATCATATTATATGCGAACGTTAATCTCAACTTTCAACCAACGTTGCCACAACGTGGCAATGTAACGTTGTTACAACGAACAATATCACCTGTAGGTCAAACGTTAACACAAACGTTACTGCAACGTCAGAATATAACGATCAGATAAACGTGATTGCCAGGATGAATCCAACGTTCAACCAACGTTGATACAACGTGGTCTAAAATTGGTTGATGATGGCCATGTGATATTGAATAGAAATGTGCGTTCCATTGTGCACTCTCCAGAGTGCAATTGTACTACACAATTTTCCATAGCACTCTTTAGTCTTTAAGCTTTAAATGAATCCCATCCGTCAAAATGCTTCTCACAACCGTGGACCGTGGCCGCAATTTATTAACATTTCTCACCTCGTGAAAATATTCTTACCACTCCTAAACATTCATTATAGTATTCAATGACAATAGCAGAGAGGTGATGACAAGTTAATGAACGTGTTGCATACAGGCCGGGAGGATCTTGTCTAAAAGTACATACGAGTGACCACGAGTGACCACGAGTGACCACGATTCGTGGTCATCCGTGGTCACTCGTGGTCATCCGTGGTCACTCGTGGTCACTCGTGGTCACTCGTATGTACTTTTAGACAAGATCGGCCGGGAGTGTAAACGAAGTGAAATATTTATGAATATTCGCTTTCTGTTTCATAATAATATTATGTATAAGCAGGAGTTGCTGCAATATATACAGAATTTTGGATATCAGATTCAGACAACTGTACACGTCCTTTGAAACGAAGACTGTTTTCCTGGAATCGATATTTTTGCGCAGTGCATCGCAAGTAAAGGACCGAGACATTCTTTTCTTTGTGATTTGTATACAATACCTTCGGGTCTCGGTTCGATGAGTCTCAAGCTGTCAAGCAGTCTGTGTATAGTCTATAGAAGCAAAGTACAGAAGTTTAATTGGCACACAATAAATCAAAAATGGTAGTTAAACACCGATTCCTGTTTGTCTTCATAGCTTGTTTACTTAGTTTCAACTCGTGCATCTGCCAAGGTAAGGGATTGACAGTTGTTGTGTGACAAAGCTTCATACCTGTAAATATTCGCTATATATGATATAATTTATTCGCATGGCTACGTCGCATGTATATCTCATTTGTTATGTAATTATTTTTATACACGCAAGCCGTATCGATCTAGCTGCCACCATATCAATGTTGTTCTTAAATTATTGATCTGGATTGCATGTTTGTAAGTATCATTGTCGTTCCGTTCCTACGATAGGGCACACGGCTCAACTGAATGACTGCGGAACAGCATGACACTTTGATTTCTATAATCTTGATACCAAGCAGTCTAAGCATGAATAATTATTTGGCACTAGAAAGCGATAACTTGGTGAACTATTTCTGAACAAATCCTGGTCAGGGTTGTGATAATTTTTTTAGCGCTGTTCTGAATATCACGATCATTTATTCTTCTACAGAGTCATTTTGATTAGTTCGTTCCGCTTCACGCGTAATTATGGCTGCCTTAATATGACATAATAGTAATTCACATGTCGTCATTGATGGTCAATTTTTTGTAATTCGGTTTTCATGTATCGGATTTCGCACAACACGGAGTTACAACGAATTACGACATGTGAATAACGGTAAATTATGTCATATAAAACCCAGCCATATTTAGCAAAATTATCTTGGCATGCATACAGGCAATCGGTCAAATTTCACGACCGCTTAACGACCACCCACGAAGCTGAGATTTTTTTTCAAACACGTACCGTGTACAGAAGACTGCCCTTGACTGCGACGTGAAAGACGAACAGTCTTAATTCTATAAAAATATTGCTGTTTCGGATCCTGTCATGCAATTTTTTATGGTTTGCTACATTTCATATATTTTGGGGGAATTGTATAGCTTACCACCACGAGACCTCGGTTATAGAAGCCATCTGATAGTGTAGAATGTTAGCACTATTTTCCATCTAGCAAACCGCCCTATTAATATATATATTAATATATTAATATTTTCCGCCCTATATTAATATTTCGCATATATGCCATATATTACGTATAAATATGCTGAATGATCGTAATATAAATTAAAGATGGCGGACAATTACTACAGCGAGCTCTATATATTGCCACTTCTCTTGGAAGATTTTTACTTCAGTGATTTTAAATTTA